ATCAAGCAGGTTGGAATGTCACAAAGTGCCACGCCTGCCACGCAAAACGACATGACAACCTGCTTGGACACATTCGAATAGGAGATGTTTTCCAGCTTCCCCCATAGACACGGCGACGCCACAGGAAAACCAGCGACTCGAGACAAGACACGTGGAGGCAGAAAAACCAGCATTTCGTACGAGACTTCCTCCAATTTTTACATTTTCGACACATTATCAAACAGGTTGGAATGTCACAAAGTGCCACGCCTGCCACGCAAAACGACATGACAACCTGCGTGGAAACATTCGAAAAGGAAAGGTTTTGCGGCTTCCCCCATAGACACGACGAAACGACAGGAAAACCAGAGACTCGAGACGAGACACGTGGGAGCACCAAAACGAGCATTTCGTACGAGACTTCCTCCAATTTTCACAATTGGCAACATAACAAAAGGACAGGTTTTGCAGCTTCCCCCATAGACACGGCGAAGCCACGGGCAAACCAGAGACGCGAGACGAGACACGTGGGAGCACCAAAACGAGCTTTTCGTACGAGACTTCCTCCAATTTTGACACTTTGCAGCTTCAAAATCGACGTTTTCCTACGAGTTTTCCTTAGAACCTGAAAATTTGCAACCTCAAAATCGATGTTTCGTGCGAGGCTTCCGTCAATTTTCAGCACATGTCACAAAATGCCACGCCTGCCACGGAATTTGCACCTCGTCGCCACTTGACGCAGCCCTGCCAATGCGATTTACAAAAAACACGCAACACGACACGTCTAAAGTGCTGCGCCTGCCACGAAAAATGACGATGGACACGTCCAAAGTGAACTGCAACACATCTTCTGAAAACGTCACAAAAGTATTGCGCCTGCCACGCAAAACGACTTTCGACACGTTCCAGAACAGGTCTGAATGTCACGAAGTGCCACGCCTGCCACGCGAAACGAAGCAACGACACGTCTGCAACCCCCAAAAAGGACCACCTCTGCAGAACTTCCCATAGGCACGGCCATATGGTCCTCGCGCGGACGGTTGCGGAGGCATGCGCTCGTGAACGCAACGTCGAGCGAACACACCCTCAACCCCCAGACCCCCAGAATGAAACGGGAACCCTTGCTACGCATTCGGGAAAAATAGGTATATACCTAAATTGATTTAGGTATATACCTTTTTTTGTCGTATTTCTTACATAGATAAATTAGTACTTGTTGATTGATTTGTTTTGAAAGTTTTTGCTGTTAGTTTTCTTAAAAAATTGAATGGTGTGTCTTGTTGGCACTGTTCAATTGTAAGTGTCTTGTTGGCACTGTTCAATTGTAATACTTAATACTGTTTTACATGTTTTATTTGGCTTTGATTGTGGTGATGGTTGTGTTTTGATGATATTTTCTTTCTAATGAACATCTGTGTTTTCTATTTGCTGTTTTCTCTGTTGGACTTGTGTATGTTACTTGAGTTTTTTGTACTTGGGCATGTTAGTTTTGTGTGGTTATTTGCTGGTTCTGTTTGGGACCTGTGTATGTTACTTGAGGTTTTTGCACTTGGGCATGTCAGTTGTGTGTTTACTTGTGCATCTTGGATTTGGCTTTCTATTCCTTATATGAGGGTTCTGTTTTGTGTTTATTTTAATTTGTTCTTTGGTGTTTTTTACTTGCGACAGCTGTTTTACTTGAGAGATGTTTCTGTTACTTGTGACGCTCTTGTGTCTAATTGTTTTTACTTGAGCATGTCCAAGTGTAAGTTGCAGACTGTGGGTCTTTTCCATGGGTAGAATTTGCATTGCAATATTGGCTCAAGTAACTCATGTGTGACTCATAGTTTCTTTTCTAGTTGGTCGCCATTTTGGCCTTGTGGGCATTGAAACCGTTGTAGAAGGTTTTGGCCTTCCTTTGGCTTGGAGCACGGCTGTACTAGATGTGTTACTGCTGTTATTTTCTGTTCTTTTTTGCAAATCAAATCTTCACTGATTCCTTATGCATTGTTTATGCACTTTTTTGCACTTGCTACGCAATCTTTCTACACTTTTGTTGCACTTTTGGTGCAATTTATATGCATTGTTTTTTTGGCATTTCTTATGCGTTTTTTTTTGCATTTGTTTTTTGCATTTTTGTGCATTTTTTATGCACTTTTTATGCACTTTTTGTACATTTGTTTATGCATTTTTTATGCGCTTTTAAAAAGCGCATAAAAAGTGCATGAGGAGTTTGACCAAAACCAACAAAAAAACACAGAACAACATCAAAACCAACCAAAGCACACAAAAACCAGTGTACTTTCATCTGAGTATATACTCACCAATATCGCAGAAACATCAAAACCTAATATACGTTTTAACTTAGTTCATATCAAGGAAATCAGTGAACTACCTTCCATGTTCAAAAGATTACAGGTAGCACAAGTAAGACAATTGGTCTGGCAAATCCTCAAGTAATAAAAAGTAATCTGCAAAGGTCTTCCATTTTCTCAAGTACATATGTAGAAAGCAAGTAAGACATGTTTTGCTCATTGTGCCAAACCTGAACCGCCACAACAAGCAAAAACACAATGTCCATCTTTGTTTTTTGCAGAAAATCACCATTGTTTTTGTGCTGATTGCACCGCGCCTGGCCCAATACTATTCTTATACAAGAACACCAGCTCCATATATTTTTCGGGTGGCGTCACTGACATGGTGTTTTTGCTTATTGTGCCAGACCTGGCTCGGTACAATAAGCAAAACCACCATTACAATATGAAATCAGCCAGGGTCCCAAGTAACACTCAAGTAAGGCATGGTCCACAAGTAATCAGCCAGGTCCTCAATACACTAGATGGTGATGGCAAAAAAATGCACCAATGATTTCACTTGAAACCACTTACTTGAGTCTTCTTACTTAAGCCCTTATACTTGAGCATTGTCTTGAATCAAGTCCTTTTGCTTAAAAACATCTTCAATGAGTACAAGTTCCTTGGGCATGGTGAGCTACTTTCTTACAGGAGCATTTTATTTACACTTCAAACTTGTGCCAAAAAAGAACAAATCATAAACCTAAATGCATTGATTCCATCTCAAGAATTCTATTTTCCAAAACATTTGTTAACCAGTTTTGTTTGTTTTTCAACAAAAATATACAAACAATATCAAACAATCATCTTTAGAAATTGAAGAAAAATTAGGTATGTATACCTGAATCAATTTACTAATTTTGACTTTTCAAACTTTTTCTGACCTAAATTCTTCGATTTACGTAATTTGAAAAGTAGTAAATTTACTATTGTTGGAGACTCAAGGTAACGTCATGTTGCACTTGCTCACATGTGCGATGCTACGCTAGAGACGTCGTCTTCACATGAGCACACATAGCTTCGGGTGGGCGGGGGCTGTTATCGTAATAGTGCACTTGCTCACATGTTCGATGCTACGCTAGAGACGACGTCTTCACATGAGCACACATACCTTCGGGTGGGGGTCTGGGCTGTTAACGTCATGTTTCACCTGCTCACATGTTCGATGCTACGCTAGAGACGTCGTCTTCACATGAGCGCACATACCTTCGGGTGGGGGGGCTGTTAAAGTCATGCTGCGCCTGCTCACATGTTCGATGCTACGCTAGAGACGTCGTCTTCACATGAGCGCACATACCTTCGGGTTGGGTGGGGGCTGTTAACGTCATGTTGCACTTGCTCACATATTCGATGCTACGCTAGAGACGTCGTCTTCACATAAGCACACATAGCTTCGGGTGGGGGGTTGGGCTGTTAACGTCATGTTGCACTTGGTCACATGTTCGATGCTACACTAGAGACGTCGTCTTCACATGAGCACACATAGCTTCGGATGGGGGGGGCTGTTATTTTAATGTTGCACTTGCTCACATGTTCGATGCTACGCTAGAGACGTCGTCTTTACATGAGCACACATCCCTTCAGGTAGGGGGGCGGGCTGGTAACGTTATTTTGCACTTGCTCACATGGGCGATGCTACGCTAGAGACGTCTTCACATGAGCACACATAGCTTCGGGTGGGGGGGAGCTGTTTACGTCATGTTGCACTTGCTCACATGTTCGATGCTGCGCTAGACACGCCGCCTTCTGATAGAAACAAAGCTTGGAAACGTGCAGCAAATGAAGCTCAGATCGGGTTCTACCAAGTCAAGCATGTCTTGCAGGAGTTTGCCAGAGGAGTGAGACGACGAAATGGAAATAAACTCACGGTTGACACACAGACTTTTGGACAAATGTTGGGATTGCTGTAAAGTTTACCGTAAAGTAAAGATTTCACTCCAAACAGTGTCCATACAAAGAATGCCAAGAACAAACTTTTGAATGCAGAGATATGGAACGAATGAACTATGTGTACCAATGGCAGTGGCGATACAATCACCACCATGCCCTCTGGCAGATGGTGCCAAAAGTTCTGAAAGAACTTGACGCATGACATGTGGGACCTGCAAATTGAGAGGTAGAAAAACAACGAGTTCTTTACGGGCGGCGGCACCTTGTGTATCTTTGTAATATCTCCCTCAAGTTTCGTTGGTTTACGACTGCATTTGCCACATCATTACTTTGGATAAAGTTGCTGTGTATTGTTCCCCTGCTTCAATTGTGAACATCAGGGCACCATCGGTAATTAACCCTGGAACATTGACAGTAGTATTCGTGAAATCCATGGCTGGTTTTTGCCACGAAAAGAAATGATTGTTATTAAGGATGGACAATCACTGTTGGTATAGTATTGGGATGATTCATTAGAAGAGTTGCTGATTGTTGGTCATCATGAGAGCTGCTGACTGACATTGATGCTTCGTATTGTCAACTCTTTTATTTACATGTGTTTGCTGCAAGTGATCATGGATGGGGAGGGTCGAAGGTTGGCGGTGGGGAACGTGTAGTCATATGTTTTGATGGAAATTTCACAGGCACATACATATGCACATGTGTTTTTTTCTCATAGGTATACATAGCATATATCTTTGCCGAGCACTTTTCCCAACAAACCCATGTATCCAAAGCACAGCCTGTTTTTTCTTTAAGGAAGTTGGAAAACCCCTACAAGAACGTCTCCGCAACTATTGGCAAGGTGCGGTTGTGGGCAGTTAGACGCTCTCAGTTCTTACGTACTGCACCAATTTGCTGCTGATGATCAGACCGCCCTGGTAGGTGTCTTTGATTTTTGACAAGCACCTACCGAACATATCGAAAGTCGTCGGAACGTTGGGCAATGATGATACTCCCATTGGCTACTTTCAGAACATCACCACAGACAGGCCTGGCATTGGGGTGGTTGGTGGGGATGGCCTTGGAAATGTTAAAATTTCAACGCCGGAACATGGACAGCTCACCCTGTATCTTTGGTGAAGGTTTATATCTGGCCAAATGAATTTATCACAGCACACAAGGTTCATCAAGCGCGCAAATTGTACGCATACCGCATAGCAGATTGGGATGTGCACGATTTTTTTCTTTGGTTCCTCGATATTAGTTTTGTGGGTTTCCAAACAGCCCAAAGATCCAATGACAAAGAAGAAATGACACAGCACAGACAAGGGTCGACACATATGATGTTTATGTGTTGTTTTCTTCGGTCTGGTGCATCTTCATCGCGTTTCGCACTTCTAAGTGGAGTTGCGTTGTTCAAACATGTCCAGACAATCAACCTGGGGCACAGGTTGCATGCTCACTGGTTCAGCGTCACAAGTTCACATGATTAATAATTAATACATGATCAATAATAGCATAGCCCATGAAGGACCGTGATGTGAGAGCCTAGGACAACCAACAGATGCTTGCCATTGTGGGCAGCATTTTTTTTGTGCAGAGGAGAGAATTGTGGCAAGGGGATGCGAGGGGGGATGGTGAGAAGACCTTGTTTATTACATTCTAGAAATATAATTGTATGATTGTCCAGCTCCATTACATGGAATGCACAACGTTTTTAAATGTTATTCCGTTACAAACCAAATTGGGTGTGGAACTGTTGTAAAATGGTTATTTGGAACTAGCCCCAAACAATCTTAGGGGATCTTGGGGGCTGATTTATATGTCCACACGACAGGTGATGTTGACTTCGATGTCGGGAGGAAATATAGAGCCAAAACATGATGCCCAGGTGATTCCTGAAATAGCTGGTAAACCGATGTTTATTCCAGATTGATATGGATACATGTGACCCATTCCCATCGCATACGCACGTCTCCAATCCAAGTTCAATGCCTAGACACATATCAATGGCCATTTCAGGTACCGATTTGTTGGAGGTACCTACCATATACATATATCATATATATATATATATTATATATCTATATACGGCCTATATAAGGCCTACGTAAGGGAATATCCCCACAAATTATAGCCTTATATGGTACAGTACCTCCATTTTGGTATCTTTAAATTCCCACTGAACAAATGTATGCAGTGCCAATTCTATGAATAATATGCCGATAACGTGGCAGATAGCTTCAAACTCAACAGAGAGAGGACGAGTTTAGATCTGAGTAGACTTGAGATCTACCCCTTGGTAATTTAACATAGCTAGGAGAAAAATCCCGTTTGTAGATGATTCACCTATTGAACATGGCGATTTCCCCTAGCAAAGTGTTGAATTGCCAGAGGGTAGCTTTAGATAAAGACATCCATCCAATGCATCGCAGTCCAAGGATGGTTTGTAACCTGTGGTGAAGAGCTTCAGAATGCCCACTGTATGACCAAAGAGTCCCGAAAGGAGTCACTCGGCTTCAGCAGAAGCTGGGCCTTGGGCATCGAAAGATGGGGATGTGTATTTCTATATTCTGTATACACCATGCCACATGGTAGGTTTATTAATGGGCTTATCGCCAGATTAACTATTAGATAGAGATATATGTATATATGTGTGTGCGCGTGATGAACTATAACTATAATATTGTAATGTATCCAGAAATATTGGATGATATTGAATGTCAACATTGTTGATGCTGCAAATGGCCATATTTCAAATTGGATACCGGATGTCAGTATGTATAAATCACATTTGACATATGGCACTGGCACAACTAATAATAAACCACACACAATATGAAAGTAAGTGAGTAGGTGGTATAAACCATGACCATGTGGAGGGCACAGTCAAAAAACATTACCACATGGCAGACTTACTAGTGGGTTGGGTTTACCTGGAATTCTAGTCGTCAAAGGATGATTCCAGTCTAGATTGTACGACTTTGGACACATTTGGAAACTGTAAATCAGTGAGAGTTCGACATCAAACTTTCGGAGTGGGACAATGAAAGGTGCTTAGAATCTAAGACCTGCAATCAAATAGGCCACATAATTTGGGACATGCTGGCGATGCATTGCAAGACTTAGCCTGCTTATGTCTACAGTGTACAGCGCTGATTTTCGGGTGGTTTGAAAAAAAGGCGGATGATGATGACTTCCAGGTGCCACATTGATTTGTCCAGGTTTGCAATGTGTCATTGTGTCACTCCCATTTTTGGAACATGGGAAGTTGGGCCTAGCAGCTTAGCATGGATCCCACGAACCGTGGGCTGATGCTGGAAGCCTCCTAAGGTACGATTATGGCAGTTACTTCGAGGTTCGCATGGGCAACTACTCCATTCTCAACATTGCCACTGTTATGTATCTGGACTCTGAAGAGTCTGAAGAGGGATTGTTTGAGTTTTCCCCCACCCCCGGAGAAAACAACAAAAGGCCAATCGTGGAATTGCACAAGCCAGATGGACTGTAGCAGAGTTCCTGTGTGCTATATACAATTTTTGCCAGCCCAGGTATTCGGTGTTTCACAAGCCTCCTAATACCTCAGGGAGCGATCCATTCCACCAGTTTGCCTGGTTGCGACGGAAGCTGACTGAAGCCGCTAGGGACAAGAGAAAGGTGTGGATAGCAGGTCATTCGGCTGCAAACAGGAGGAACTCTTTGGTCCTGCGCGTTTTGTCATTCTTTTGTGGATGATGTGCGAGCCGTAGCGGTTCATGTTTTTTTTGTTATTTGCCTTTTAGAATGCAGGCTTTGCTGATACAGCAGCATGTAATCATACGCGCAAACCCCCCAGTTCGCCCACACACTTCTTAGGGATTCTGAAGGAATATAAAATTCCGACCCCCGTTAAACTTTACATTAGTTGGGAAGATCAAGATGGGTATTAGGAATATAAATTCCCACCCCCGTTAAACTTTACATTCAATTGTGAAGATCAAGAAGGGTGTTAGGAATATAAATTCCCACCCCTCTGAACTTTACATTCAATTGGGAAGATCAATAAGGGTGTTAGGAATATAAATTCCCACCCCCGTTGAACTTTACATTCAATTGGGAAGATCAACAAGGGTATTAGGCATATAAATTCCCACCCCCATTGAACTTTACATGATGATGATGATGATGTTGTTGATGATGATGATGATGTTGATGATGTTGATGGTGATGTTGTTGTGTAACATTCAACGCACAGGTAGCTAAGCTGTGCGTTGCAAGATGAAAGCCATGATCATGGACATGTGCATTTTGTCCCACAAAACACAAAGTTTTTTGATGTTCGGACATGTCGTCCGCGTCCGTGCGGGCAAACTGAGGGGTTTGCCAATAATCATACTATATATAAATATAATTGATACATATATGTGTTCTTTGTTTTTTTAAGATTTATTTTATTGATTGATTGTTTATTTTTCACCTACACGCATATGTTGTCATGTTGACCTCTTTGTGACTTCAGATGATTCAAAACTGGCAGTATTTGCTTTCCAATTGGTTCCCCTCTTGTTTGTAAGCCTGCCTGATGAAACTGGAGAAGCCAAGGCCATATTCCACCGGGGATCGAAACTTTTGGATACACTGAGCTCTGGGAACCCAGTGGCTTGCTGAAACCAGCAGTTTTTTTCAGCATGTTTGACCCTGGATACCCATTCAACACGTCCATGCGGTGAGTTCCTGGGAACTCTGAGTCCTGATCACATATAAGTCCAACTAGGCCATGGGAAATCACCATTGCAAAACGGTTGCATATGTACCAATGTACCAGTAGTACTGCGCAAGGCGGTGGTTGAAGTTTCAAAGATAGGAAACCTATAGGATAGGGTGAGTTGTTGTGATTCATGGATGGCAGAGCGAGCTGATGGACCCAAAGGTGGTTGAGGCTCTGAGTCAGTCAGTCTCTCTCTCTCTCTCTTTGTCATGCTGTGTCTCTTTCTCTGTGTGCCTCGCTCTCCCTCTATCTATCCATCTCTCTCTCTACCCAACCAACCTACTTTCCTACGTACCTACCTACCTCCCCATTCTCCTACCTACCTACCTAGCTATATATCCATCCATCCATCCATCCACCCATCCACCCATCTATGTATCTATCTATCTATCTATCTATCTAGCTAATCTAGCTATCTATCTACCTACCTATCTATCTATCTGTCTGTCTATCTATCTATCTATCTATCTAACTATCTATCTGTTTGTCTATCTATCTATCTATCTATCTTATCTTAAGTTATCTTATCTTATCTGATCTTATCTTACCGTATCTATCTATCTATCTACCTATCTATCTATCTATCTACCTATCTATCTATCTATCTTTCCATCTATCTATCTATCGATCTATCTATCTATCTATCTTTCTATCTAGCTATCTATCTATCTATCTATCTAACTATCTATCTATATTTCTTTCTTTCTTTCTATCTGTCTACCTATCGATCTATCCATCTATCTATCTATCTATGTATCTTTATTTCTATCTATGTATAGTTCTATCTATCTATAGGTTTTTCTATCTATCTATTTATCTATCTTATCTTTTCCTTGTTTTTCTTATATTATCTCATAATTATATTTCTTATCTTATCTTTTCTTATCTTATCTTAACATTTCTTATCCTATCTTGTGTTACCTTACCTTATCTATCTACCTATCGATCTATCTATCTACCTATCTTTCTATCGATCTATCTATCGATCTATCTATCTATCTACCTAATCTATCTGATTTTATCTTATCTTATCTTATCTATCCATCTATCTACCTATCTATCTATCTACCTATCTATCTATCTATCCATCGATCTATCTATCTATCTATCTGTCTGTATATATATAATCTATCTATCTTATCTTATTTTATCTTATCTTATCTTAACCGATTTTATCTTATCTTATCTTACCGTATCTATCTATCTATCTACCTATCTATCTATCTATCAATCTATCTGCCTATCTACCAAACGTGCCTTCAGGATTAACATCCCAAGAGAAACAGCCATCCTGAAATGGAAGTCCTGGAGTCTGAAGACGTGAGCGTTCATTTTTCTCAATCACTGAGGTTTGTCAATTTCTTTTCTGTTTGTGGCGTAGCACGCATCTTATTCAAATTGCGCCAGAAAATGGCTCCAAAATTTCTCAAGCAAGCTCCATAAACGACAAAATAAAACAAGGGGAACAGATCAATTTGATGGCTTGGATTTTTTGAGCCGTCGATGAAGCTTTGCATTTGTTCACAGAGAGGAGGGTAAATTTGCTGGACACCCTTTTTTTTTCAGGGAAAAAATATGGTTTCCTCCAACTTTTCCCTTCAACCGATCCACTGACATATGAAAAATGATATATGATATATGTATATATAAAACTAACTTGGGCAACTTGAGGCTATCTGAGGGAGTATTTGAACATCGTGCAGGATGAAGTCATGGGAAGACACTCGAATGCCAGGGATTGGCTGAATGGGCTTGGCAGTTTGCATAGCATTCCTTTTGAAAATACTATTAATGTGGCAAATACAACAACACATCATCCCAACTTGGGTTTTATCCATGTCATTACATCTATCATATCACTATTTGGGTTTATTTCCCATATCCTTCAATATTGTCATCATAATCATCATCATCATCGTCATCATCATCAGTAGTCAACATTGTGTCCCAGTACCAACTTCCCCACACTGGTGATATTCTGCATAACTCAGGTGTCATCGCTGCTCAATTCTTTGGGCATGTGCACAAGGCCTGGGCCAACCCAGAACAGTATGAAATGCTAAAGGCTGTTGACATGCCTCCTTGTTAAAAATATTAAAGTGGCCGTTCTGCGGCATATCCCCTTTTTATGTCCGAACTTAAACTGAAACCTTTGGAGGCGTATCCGGAGTGTGGGCTTGTGATCTTGGCATTTCACGGATGAGCTGCTGGTTTGTTTGTACAATTCATGATGTTTTTTCATGTTTTTGTTCCTTTTGGCTGAAGTCGCTGAAGTCCAAACCCACATACATTAATATATACATGTATCTACATATATGTTCATATATATGTATATGTATATACATATATATATATATACACGTATATATACATATATGTACATATATATGTAGATTATGTGTACATATATATATATATATGTGTGTATATGTACATATATATATATATAGATTATGTGCACACACGTATATATATATATATATATACACACAGTATTTTGCCCGCACAGTGACACATGCATATTTGTATGAAGGCGAGTCGGATCGCGTCACCAGGACGAGATTCGGATTTTGCCGAATCCGCCTCCCGGGGCAGGGCCCATTTTCTTGTCCTTGTCGCGCCCTGGCAAGGCAAACTAAGACAGGCCTAAAGTGCATATATATATATATTAACATATATTGTCTATAGCTATATATTTGTATTCATACAAATATTCATATATAATAGTTGCTACTATATATATATATATATATATTTGCTACAGACAATCACTGCGTATACACATTTTGACACATATGTATATGCATTGAGACAGGCACAGTGCACATACATATCCATTCCGAACCTGTATATTAATCTTGGGTGGCGGTGGCAATGTGTTTGTTCACGCAACATGCAGAATCTGGCTGCCTGGAACATATTAGGTGGGCCCACCTGTGATTGCGGCCGAGGTTGAGCCCCGTGTACTACAACAACCCAGCGTTCAAAACAGTCGCTGGGACATGAATGAACTTCATTCTTCGGTATTCAACCACTACCCATAAATGGTTACAGTAGGAATTGTTTTTCAACCACACAATTTGGCTTATAGACTCAGGAATAACTTGGATATCATGTATAAAGATCTGGAATGATATTACCCTCTCCAAAGGATGAAATGCGCGTCAAAACCTGGATTTGTTGAGAATGATGTTCAATATGTCTGATTGGTCTGATTGGTTAATCCACCATTTGCGAAATCTATAGGGCCATAAGGCCTATAGGGGAATATATTGTTCTGTTCATGTCCCCTTTAAGCAAATCCAAGATAAAGGTCCAGGTTGACGCAGATTGCTGCAGGATGTGGGAAGAAAACATTTTGGGGTTCGGGTTTTGCATCTCCTTGTGTCTCTTGGAGATGTTGAAGTCAGAAGTATTGTGGAATTTGGTAGGGAATTCGATGGAGAGTCCTTTTCGATGAATCTTGAGACCTTACTTTGTACCTTCTTGAAGGTTCCAGGTTCCAGTGTTCACGTACTGTATTGCATCTTTTTTATATTCGGATATTGTTTTTTTGTTCTCCTTTTCGTATTCAACCAAATTAAAACCTAGGTAATGCTACATAATCCAGGAGGACGTATTCCCGGGTAATCGTTGAGAGGCCGGAAGGAGTTTTTCATTGGTGAACTGTTTCCAAGGTCACGTGGCATGAAAATGGAGAAGTCGTTGATTTCGACACGTTCCTTTGCTACACGCGGGCCAGCAGTTGTTCCAAGCTGACCTGCTGATGGTGGCTGTGGCGATGGTATATTGGAAGGATGAATCGACAGAACATCAATTTGTTCGTTTATTCGTTTTTGATCGAATTCAATTTGAATCAATAAAATTGAAATGCTTGCTTGCAGTGATTGATGAAATTGGTTTGTTTGATTGCTGTTGACTGGTTGAGTGACCGCCTTGCCAGTGAGGTTCTATGCTCAGATGTCCAATGGCTCATCAATGCATTATGAATTGGGCTATAGTTTCTTGGCTCATTGGGTTGTTCAATTTGCTGTACCATTCGAATTCAGGGTTTACAATGGGTTTGCCCGTCATCCTTTGATCCAATTTTGAGATAGACGGGTGGCCAAGCTGGGAGCCAAAGCCGGAACCCCTTCCAGGAAAGCATGACTGAAGAGGGTTCCCACATTCGCTTGGCAAGTCTGAGCGCTAGACTATGATTGTGGCATCCATTCTTCACTGGTACCAAACCAGGTTTCATATTCACTGACATACAACAAATCTATTCGCTACAAATGGGGAGGCATGGTGGCTCTGACACTAGAGAAAGGACATTCCGAAACCCATTCGAAATCAGAAAAGCCAGGAACTCCCAAGTTTCCAGACACCTCAAGAGCATCACTCAGATCCATCAAGCATTATCAAGTATCAAGCATTTCAATCTCATTTTTTGGGGTATGACATGTTTTCAGCCAATGTCTGGTGTTTCGGGATTGCTTGAGCACCCAACCCCACGATGTCGAGGCACATCCCCAAAGCGTCAGCGTTTTAGGAGGTCCGGGGTTGTCTTAAAATTTGGGCTCACATTCCATTCCATATATTTCCATATATGCCATGGTTTTTCACGTTTATCATCGTTTTCCACCATGCTTGCTATCAAGATTGCAACTGTGTAAATATCAACAAATATCAAATATCCAAGATGTGGACCCCACTATCCAAAAAAAGGGCGAACGTGTCCAGTTCCTGAAGACAAAGCCAGGTTTCAGGTCTTTGTACGCCTTGAAGAAGCTAAGCATGGAGAGCTTCGTTCCCTTCGCCCAGGAACTCTTGCAAGGGACCGAGCAGTGGATCAGATTCTTGGCCCATAGCGAAAAATACGGCGCTCAAAATTGGACATCCCTAAAACCCAATGATTGATCATCATTTGCCCAATAGATTAGCCATTGAACATGGGTATCCAAGGCCTATATCGGCCCATTTTCACACACACCCGTATGTTGAAATCATTGAAGCACGGATTTGACTCTGCTTGTCGCTTGTTGCTAAGATGCTGTTTCATTTCCAACCCTACCTGGCTCTCCCTGGGATTTTGATCTCATGTCACCACAAGTTCTGGAGGAGTTGAACCCCATCGGATTGGACGTGGATAGATGTGGAGCTATACATGATTGATGTTTTGGATGGTATACCTAGGTGCAATGAGACTGAGACGCTCGTGCCTTTTTGGATGGTACAGATATTGACTGAACCCACAGGAGTTTGTTTTCCAGAATTTCAAATGGTCAACATTGGTAGCTGATACCTTTCTGGTTCAGGTCTCCATACCAATGTGTAACTAGACGTTCAGTTGTGTGTGATCAAAGCCACCCAATAACTCGGACACATGCGTGATGTTGCATTTACAAGTCATGCTTCTCATAGCACGATGGGGATGGATCAAAATCTATGACACATATGATTTCGTTTTGTTCAGCAAGGGTAACAGTTTTTGACCCATTGCCTGGATCTGTAAATCACCCCAACATCACATGTTCATGCCAGTTGAGTCAGCTAAGATCTTGCAGTTCGTTACACAAAAGTCCTTGCACATTGTGCAGTACATATGTGCATGTCTACGCATAGAGAGAGAGAGATACTATTATATTATATACACTCTACTAGTTGATATGCCTAAAAAAACATATGTAGCATACACTTTGATACACACAGGCGCACCACACACACAAACACACGCATGTCACGTATTTATATATATATACGTATATAATAATAATAATTATTATTATATGATTATTATGATTATTATTATATATATATCATGTCACCAGCGTGCGCAATACCACACGGAACACAAACCCCCCAATGAATTAACATAGACAATGCCAGTAAATTTGCAGGGTCGATGTTTATTTACCAATGGGTACTTCTAATGTGCTCCTTACAGTATAAGAAACCAACCTTTGAAAAATCACTGAGGCTACGCCAAGTGGTACACCGCCACGTATCCCAACGACCTCAACAGCTTCGCCACCAACGCCAGCGACCCACCCTCCGTGCAGAAGCAGAAAGCCCTGCGGCGACAGCAGCGACTCGGAGTTTACCATCCAAAATGGTGGTTGAATCAACACATGGTGAAATATATGGTGAACTCTATCATCCAAATAATGGGGAAAAAGAAATCTGGATGGGTAGTTCGGCACCATCGATTTCTTTTCTCCTCAAAGTGGGGATGTAAACTGACCAGCCAAATCAACTCGCGTTTTGCAGGTCATCTAAGTGATTTTCAATGTGAAGGGGGAATTAGTGGGGTTTCCTTAGTAGATCATAAAGTAAAGCTTCGTGTACTGTAACTGTTGCAGAAGATGTGTTGAGCAGCATCTAGAAAACGCATAATTTGATAATTGATCGGTATTTGTTGCAAGGAGTATACAGTCAGTGCCAGAATTATAGAACGGAGCCAGGAGTACAAAAGTACGGTAAAATACCGTACCTTCGTACTCCTCCGGATCCCGATTCCGCGCGGATTCGGATCCGTTCTATAATTAAATTTCCCCGTTCTATACTTAAATTGCTCCGTTCTATAATTTCTGGCACCTCCATGATATTTACTGCATATTTGTACATATACAATCTATAAAATGAAGATTTAATGAGGATTTGATGAGGAAATGAAGATAAAATGAGGATAAAATGAAGATTTGATGAGGAAACGAGGATAAAATGAGGATAAAATGAAGATAACATGAGGATTTGATGAGGAAATGAGGATAAAATAAGGATAAAATGAAAATAAAATGAGGATTTAATCAGGATTTAATGAGGATTTGATGAGAAAATGAGGATAAAATGAAGATAAAATGCAGATAAAATGAGGATTTGATGAGGAAATGATAATAAAACGCGGATAAAATGAGGATTCAATGGCATTAAATGGGGATTTGATGAGAAAATGAGGAAATGAGCTCTTTCTGGGACCCCGGAAGAGGTTCTATAATTCTATAATCAATTTTTCCGTTCTATAATTAATTTTTCCGTTCGACGGAAAAATGAATTATAGAACGGAGAAAATTAATTATAGAACGAAAATGGGAAATGTGAGAAAAATGGGGGAAAACAGAATTATAGAACAACAGCGCTCCGACAAGAATTATAGAACGACGAAGAAAGCTAGGAGTAAATTCAGATACGTTTTTTTTTCATACCTTCCGAGGAAAACAGAATTATAGAACAACAGGGTATACGGTAAATAACCGTACCTTCGTACTCCTCAACTTCCGTTCTATAATTCCGGCACTGACAGTAACTATAATGCATATTACTGATTGGTCGGATGGTGCTGTGCTGGGGATGATCAACATGATCAACGAGCTAACTTGTCAATAACACATTTTGCTTCATGTTGCTTCATTTTGCTTCATTTACTCGCTGGCTGGGGTAGCTTTTGTGCCATCTATCTATGCACAGCCGCCTGCAGCAAGGTACGTCTGCGGTGTCACAATTCAAAGCATGGAGAGCTTCGAGGTGCTGTGGCATGCCATGCCCTGGGGAAAAATCCGAGTCCAACCGATCGACTGAATCTGTCCAAATGTATACATACTTATATACCTAGACATGTATATACATATACACATAAATAAATAAATATAAATATATATATATATATCCCCGTTGGGGCAAAAGGGCTAAAAGGGCTAAAAACCTAGGGCTGGCGCGCCTGGTTTTAGCCCACAGATGGCTTTGGCCTGTACTCCAAAAACGTTACGCACGGTTTTAAGGATCTGGTGAAAAACCTCAAGCGCTGGTATTCATCCAATAAGAGTCTTTTTTTGAAGAGCTTTGCCAAACATCAAGCTCAGGGGTTTCAGCCAAAGTTGGATTTTCAACATGAGAGTTAGTGAAAGGCTGGGGTCACTGGTTTTTATCCAGAAACATTTTTTCCAAAGAACTCAGCAGCTATCCAGGGGGAACTTCAGCTCACAGGTTTTCATCTACAAATATAAGTTTGGCCATGGGAACTTGAAGTGCTCACGGCATAAACCCTTAAACCTCAGCAAAGGTTTTCATTCTCCGGATTTTGCTGTTAGGTTTTCATCTACAAATATAAGTTTGGCCACGGGAACTTGAAGTGCTCACGGCATAAACCATTAAACCTCAGCGAAGGTGTTCATTCTCCGGATCTTGCTGTTTTAACTTGACCTCAGTACAGGTTTTCATTCTCCGGATCTTGCTGTTTTGACTTCCTGGAGATTCATGTGAAGTTTATAGGTCTATAATATAAATAAGTGATACATATGTTTTTCACTGCGTAAGACGAGTGCACGTCTTGTAAACGCAACGCGGTTGTTTTCTGGGGTTTGGTTTCGCGATGCTAGCCCCAAGCGCAGACAGATGCATTTTTTTGAGATATGGCTGCCGGTTTCCGCGCATGAATTTGACAACTTTGAAACATGAAACCGTGGAAAGAGAGAAAATCCTAGGTGTTAAGGAAAGGAGAAAATGAAGGTAAAAATTGTTCACAGTGGCTGAAAACATGCATGGGCCATGGGCCTGAGATTCATGAAAAATAGGCGGTGAAGTGCGTGCACAGGCTGAAAACATGAGACTGAGATTCATCAAACTTAAATGGAGACATTCTTGCACAGGCTGAAAACATGAGACTGAGATTATCATTCATGAAAATTAAATGGTGCCTGAGTTTCATGAACATGAAATAGTGAAGTTCTTGCACAAGATGAAAACCCAGGGCCTGAGTTTCATGAGGGCCACTCTGGGATACTAGAAATGTCAAGCAAAGGTTTTCATTGGTTGCAATTTGCACCCCACACACCATTTTGATTGAAGGAGTTTAGCCCGCACGGGCGGGTAAAAATCAGGTTGCCTGCTTAGTCTGCTGCCTGAACGGGGATTTTAAATTGTCTGTGGCGCCACACTTGCTACGCAAGTGCACAGGGCACAGGACAAGAACGGTACAGAGTTCTCATGATGTAGCATCCATTTCCCATCATGTCCCCATTCAACTCTATTTTCGCAGCTGACTAGCCACATTGACTGCCATGCGCAGGATTGTGTGGAGTCCGCCCGCCTCAGCATCTACAAATCGGTGCAGGCCAGGCATGGCCTCCAACCTCAGGTTCCAAGCCTCTAGGATCAATTCCAGGCAAAGGCCCTCTCTATTCCTGGATTTTCTGAAGGTGATGGATGGATCCTGTTGGTTAATCCATGTTAATCCACCATTTGAAGGCAATTTTCTGTATTGTGCTGTGGGATATTTCGGCCCCTGCATACCATCCTAACACTTGGTAGGGACCTACTGTTACTATCATGTATGATGATAGTATCTCCAATCGACACAGGAACCTTTTCCCAGAATTGGTTGATTCAGACATTTTCCAGGAAACCAATCGATATGTGCGCTTTTTGAAGCATCCTAGGAACCCAGTTTTCCTGTTGGTTTGTTTCCTGCCAAACCAACCCAGCTGTAGCGAGTTTGCATCAGGACGATTTGGGCGCCAAAGCCCCTCTGGCTCCGCTGGTCAAGGCCATTTGTAGCGATAGTGGGGGCAAGAACGTTTTCACATCCGTGATATCAGCATGACATGTTTATTTCACATCATGAATGTCTCGGCTGCATGCGCACCTGTTTGCATGAATGCATATGTATATAATATGTATATACACATACATATACATATACATATACATATACATATGCATATACATACATATATATATACGCATTCATGTTTGTAATTATCAGATATACTAGTAGATTACATGATATTACATGTACATGTTTTAGTTCCGTAATAAATGACACATCATACATCACAATATGCTTAATTACACAGTATCTATTTTACATGGTTCTAAGTTTGAAGACGCCTTCTTATTTTCATATTAACGCTGCAAGCAGCCGATATCGCAGTTTGTTACCTTAAACACGGCTGGTGAATTTATGTGAATTTTGCTGCCCGGCAGGCCGTGCCAAAGACCCTTGATGTCAAGAAGCACATGATCATTGCTCGCTTGTTGAGGTGGGTGGCACGGTGGGTGGTTCCTTCAACCAGTGATCGGTTGGTTCATCAGTTCTTTGAGGGGTTCAAAAAGGTGGGGCCCCCGTGTACGATAGCCAAATTGGTTTAGTTCACTGGGATCACTATAGTTTTTTTTGTTTATGCTTTGTTTTTTTGGGAGATGACTATAGGCCTGATTAAAATTAGTGGGCTATAACTGAAACCGGGGAGGGCCCACCTTGTTGCGTTGGTGAAGGATCTTGACGGTAAAAAATGGTAAGCACTATTATTTCCCTCACACATGTCCTGAAATTAGCCCAGCAATGCTGGGTCATTTCTTACTTTTTCTAGTGGAGCGGAAGTCATATTGAGATCCATTTCAGCATGTCCTGGATCGATAACTTCGCCATCATGGTGTAACTCCATGTTCCCCTTGCTTCTTCTACAGTGTCCCAACATATGTCTGCTCATGACCATATGTCCCAAACTTGGGGCACCACAAACTTGCAAAATTCAGCAAAATTCCACCAGTGGTTCCAGCAGCCAGTTCTGAGACGACTCCGGACCATTTTGGCTTGGTAGTTTCATAAGGTTGAATGTATAGTTTTGAATTCAACCCGGTTTGGGATCATCCCCCATTCAAGTCAATACGTATATGTATATATATATATAAATGTTCTCATATTATTTATATATATATATATATATATATTATTTCATCATGTATTGCATTTGTTGTTCAACTGGGTTGAAAACACCACTCAGATTTGTAAGAAACCAGTTGCTTGAAAGACTTGCCAGTTTTTGGCACAGGTGGGCTGAACTTTCCGAACGTCCAGAGGCATTTGACATCCTTCGTTTGGCCGAGCAGCATCATTGGATGGAACCTTTGGTCATATCCAATGCAGCACTCCCTGATCGTTTAGTTTGTTCACATAGGGCCTAAGTCCTTAAAAGATTGGCAGGATGTAATCCAAGTCTACACAAGGAGCTGTGGAAGTTTGGCAGGTTGTTCCACCGGTGAGAGAAGGGAAACAATGGGCAGCCCTTACGACAGGAAGTAAGCCATCAACATACCAAAACTAGTTATTACATAGAGATACATGGGCACACTCTTGACCAAGACTTGTTTAGTCCGACTTACGTGGGCGTGTATTGTGATCCTCCGTAGCTTCAGCTGGAGTAGCATTGGCCCCCGCGGGGGTGGAGAACAGTGGCAATGTTGATAGTTATCAGATGATCAACCAGGAAAGTTTTGAGGTAACTTAATTTTAAACAGACCTATATTCATAGAAAGCAGTTGCTACCCCCTTGGGTGTGACCCTCCTTAGTGGGAGCAGGTAAGCCAAATAACTGCTCTAAAGAGCCCATACAGGCCTTAAAATTCTTTCTCGTTCAGTGCCTCTAAAACCCCTCATCATCCCGTATGGTGACTCTTCACACCCTCTTGAGTGATCTTAACACACGAGAGGCACGGACTCAAGTCATAACTCGCTCATATCAGCTCTCAAGTGCTCTTTTTGTGCTGCTCTTGAGGGCTTAGAGCAGTTAAGAGCAGTTAAGATGGGGGGGTCACATCAATGATGCCTGCTGTTTTACAGGGTTTTGGGCCCTCACATCAACAACAAAGCAACACACAGGGGAGGCTCCGCTCGATTTTGGGTGCTGTTCAAAGTGGCCCTTCGATAAGGGGGGCCAGATACAGCGGGCTCGCTCCTGCTTTCTGTGAATTTCTGTGATATATGCTACAATACCGTTTGTATACAATTTTGTATTTATATACGTACGTCTATATATATACATATATAATGTTGGTTCCTGATTAGTGTGTGGCCCCCCCCCTCCACCCCCTCCCCCCTAAACTATATCTGGACTCTCTTTAAAGTAGAAAGTCAAACATTTTCTCCCCAAAAGAAAAACATATCGTCAATTAAGTAAGGATTTCAATTGGCTACAATTGAAATCTAATTGCTATTGTTTTTTTTGCCGATGAAGTTGTGGTATTTGTAGTGCTTGTAGTACTTGTAGTACTTGTAGTACATGTAGTACTTGTAGTACTTGTAGTACTTGTAGTACATGTAGTACATGTAGTACTTGTAGCACTTGTAGCACTTGTAGCACTTGTAGTACTTGTACTACTTGTAGTACTTGTAGTACTTGTAGTACTTGTAGTACTTGTAGTACTTGTAGTACTTGTAGTACTTGTAGTACCTGTAGTACCTGTAGTACTTGTAGTGCTTGTAGTACTTGTAGTACTTGTAGTACATGTAGTACTTGTAGTACTTGTAGTACTTGTAGTACTTGTAGTACTTGTAGTACTTGTAGTACTTGTAGTACATGTAGTACTTGTAGTACTTGTACTTGTAGTACTTGTAGTACTTGTAGTACTTGTAGTACTTGTAGTACTTGTAGTACTTGTAGTACTTGTAGTACTTGTAGTACTTGTAGTACTTGTAGTAAGTACTTGTAGTACTTGTAGTAAGTACTTGTAGTACTTGTAGTACTTGTAGTACTCTTCTGGGCTTCCAGGGGCTTGCTCTGTCACAGCTTGCTGCAATAGTGAACCCAGCAAACAAACCTACTAAAGTGAAATGAAGCCTCTCCTGGTCCAGGGCCTTGGAAAATTGTGGAAAAGCTGTTCTTTAATAAGGGTTTAATAAGGGATTGGCTCCTTTGGGAAAGGCTTGGAGTTTGAATTTGGCAATTGCCTTTGGAAAAGGCTTGCTTCTCTTCTGGGCTTCCAGGGGCTGCTCTGGCACAGCTTGCTGCAATAGTGAACCCAGCAAACAAACCTACTAAAGTGAAATGGAGCCTCTCCTGGTCCAGGGCCTTGGAAAATTGTGGAAAAGCTGTTCTTTAATAAGGGTTTAATAAGGGATTGGCTCCTTTGGGAAAGGCTTGGAGTTTGAATTTGGCAATTGCCTTTGGAAAAGGCTTGCTTCTCTTCTGGGCTTCCAGGGGCTGCTCTGTCACAGCTTGCTGCAATAGTGAACCCAGCAAACAAACCTACTAAAGTGAAATGGAGCCTCTCCTGGTCCAGGGCCTTGGAAAATTGTGGAAAAGCTGTTCTTTAATAAGGGTTTAATAAGGGATTGGCTCCTTTGGGAAAGGCTTGGGGTTTGAATTTGGCAATTGTTTGGAAAAGGCTTGCTTCCTTCTGGGCTTCCAGGAGCTGCTCTGGCACAGCTTGCTGCAATAGTGAACCCAGCAAACAAACCTACTAAAGTGAAATGGAGCCTCTCCTGGTCCAGGGCCTTGGAAAATTGTGGAAAAGCTGTTCTTTAATAAGGGTTTAATAAGGGATTGGCTCCTTTGGGAAAGGCTTGGAGTTTGAATTTGGCAATTGCCTTTGGAAAAGGCTTGCTTCTCTTCTGGGCTTCCAGGGGCTGCTCTGGCACAGCTTGCTGCAATAGTGAACCCAGCAAACAAACCTACTAAAGTGAAATGGAGCCTCTCCTGGTCCAGGGCCTTGGAAAATTGTGGAAAAGCTGTTCTTTAATAAGGGTTTAATAAGGGATTGGCTCCTTTGGGAAAGGCTTGGAGTTTGAATTTGGCAATTGCCTTTGGAAAAGGCTTGCTTCCCTTCTGGGCTTCCAGGGGCTGCTCTGGCACAGCTTGCTGCAATAGTGAACCCAGCAAACAAACCTACTAAAGTGAAATGGAGCCTCTCCTGGTCCAGGGCCTTGGAAAATTGTGGAAAAGCTGTTCTTTAATAAGGGTTTAATAAGGGATTGGTCCTTTGGGAAAGGCTTGGAGTTTGAATTTGGCAATTTTGGAAAAGGCTTGCTTCCCTTCTGGGCTTCCAGGGGCTGCTCTGGCACAGCTTGCTGCAATAGTGAGCCCAGCAAACAAACCTACTCAGATAGAGATGCATTTACAGGCTCAGATAGAGAGATGAGCAAAAACTTGACTGAGCTACAGCGTTTTTGAGGAAAAAAATTGCCTCTCAGCAATTACATTTTTTTCAAAAAAAAGTGTTCTCCCCATTTTGTTTTGCCACAAAAGCGAACCCTCCAAACAATACATGAGTTTCAGAATAATTTGGAAAATTGCCACAATAGCGACCCTAGCTACTAATCAGGAGCTAACATTATATATATATATCCCAAATGCGTACATATCCATATGTCCATCCATATGTCCATATGTCCATATGTCCATATGTCCATATGTCCATATTTATATATAATATGATATGTTTGTGTGAAATCATCATTTGTGTAATCACAGGATGTACTCTATATAGCTTCATCCTTGATGTGTCCTTTCATTTTGGCCCACCGTGCTGTCAAGGAACTGCTGCAAAGGTATGGCCCAGCCGTAGAGCGAAGCTGGGAGGAAGGCATTTCGCTTGACGACTTCTTCCAGCGACCCGGGCGCTGGGGCGGGGAAGCCATGGTGAGTAGCTAAAAGTTGTGCCCAGATCTCCAACCGATAATAATATGCACTACTTTATGTACATACATTACTATATATATATATATTATATTTATATATGTATATAATATATATATATATTATATATATAATCAAAGGAAGTTTAGAAGTCAAACTTCCTACAATATGGACAGATGGAAAAGCAGAGGTGGGAAGAATCAAAAAGCAGAAGAGCAAAAGAGAGAAGATCAGAGAAGAGAAAGAGTGAGAAGAAGGAAGATGCAGGTGCGCGAAAAGGTAGGAAAGTCGCGATTCACAGTGTTTTCCCACTGATTCGTGTCTCCGGAGGGTCGAAAAGTAGGCTCGCTAAAGCGGCGGGTGCGGAGCCTGGCCAGATGAGAGATGAAAAGTTGCACGCCGTTGTGGCGCAACGCACATTTGCAAAAATGAAAAAGCTAAAAACCCCGCACGTTCGGATCTTTTTTGGACGTTGAGATGTCGAAAAAGTGCACGCCTGCCGTGCGAAGCACATTTCCAAGTCCAAATGTACAAGACACCGCATGTTCGGACCACTTTTGGAAGTTGAGATGTCGAAATAGTGCACGCTGTTGTGGCCCGAAGCACATTTCCAAGTCCAAATGTACAAAAACAGCTCATGTTCGGACCACTATTGGAAGTTGAGATGTCAAAAAAGTGCACGCCGTTGTGGCGCGAAGCACATTTCCAAGTCCAAATGTACAAAAACACCTCATGTTCGGACCACTTTTGGAAGTTGAGATGTCGAAAAGTGCACGCCGTGCTGGCGCAAAGCACATTTCGAAGTCAAACATGTTAAAAAGTGACGGTTCAGAGCACTTTTGGAAGTTGAGATGTCGAAAAAGTGCACGCTGTTGTGGCGCGAAGCACATTTCGAAGTCAAAAGTGCAAAAAACTGACGGTTCAGAGCACTTTTGGAAGTTGCGTCGAAAAAGTGCACGCCGTTGCGGCGCGAAGCACATTTCGAAGTCCAAAGTGCAAAAAACAGAAGGGTACGGAGCCTTTTGAACGTTCAGATGTCGTTTTGCGTGGCAGGCGATGGGGATTGTGCACCTTGTCAAAAGTGAGCAAAAGGTGAAGGTTTTGTAGCATTTCCAAAAAGGATGGCAGGCGTGGGACATTTCAAGAGGATCTGGGCAGATGCATGTCGCGTGGCAGGCGCAATACAAGAGACATGTGCATCAGAGATGTTAGGAGGTCAGCGCGTTGATTTCCTGAGAGGGGTTGCATTTTGGAGCAGCAGATCTTCGGGTTTCGGAAGATGATTTTGCGTGACAGGTGCAGCACTTCGTATGACCTGGCATCACATTGTCGTGGCAGGCACAATACTTTAGACAGATGGAGTGGAAAAATTGCAAAACGTATTGGCACGAGGCTTTCAGCTCTGCACTCAACTGTCATCAACAGTCCATTTCTGCAAGAAAGTTGAAAAATTGAGGAAGTCTCGCAGAAATGCTTCGTTTTTGATGTTGTCAACTTCTAAAACTGAGCAAGTCTCGCAGAATTGCTTTGTTTTTGACGTTGCCAAGTTAAAAAAATGAGGATGTCTCGCAGAAAAGCTTGAAAAAGACATATATAGATAGACAGATAGACAGATGGATTAATAGATGGATAGATGGATGGATAGATAGTTAGATAGATAGACAGCTACAATTACACTACCACTACGACTACAAATGCAGAAAACTAATTACACTACGCTACGCTAATTAGAGTAAACTACACTAATTGCACTACAACTGTAACTACCACTACAACTACTATTACTACTACAACTACAGCTACAGCTACACTTACAACTGCACTACATTACACTACGTACACTAATCACATTACACTACACCACGCTACACAGCTACAGCAACAACTACAAACACAACTACACTACATTACACAGCACTACGCTACAGTATATCATTACACTACACCCGAACTACAACTGCAAATGCAACTACAGCTACAACTACAACTGCAACTACAACTACACTACACTAATTACACTACACTACACTACATTACACTACACTGATTACACCACACTACAACTACAATTGCAACTACACCACACCAACTACACGCCACTACAACTACAGCTCCACTACACTGCAACTACAACTACAGCTGCACTACACCACACTACATCCAGCAGTTGCGGGTCAGGTGGCCTCTGCAACCATTGCAACCACTCCAAAAAACTCAACTCCAACCACTTTTCGGTCCACCAGTGGATTTCGCTTTGCCATCCATGCATCACAACAACTCACCTCTCCTAAAGTGTCCTATCTTTAAAACTTCCACCACCGCCTTGTGCGGTGCTACTGGTATATGCAGATAAAAAATGATAAAAATGGTAAAAATGCATACATACATATGTACTGTATACATATATACCTAGGACAACCGAGGCAGCAATAATTCCTTAATTGTATGTTTGGTGAGCAATTAACTTTTGGAGGGGCCAACCCGCAGACTCAAACGGAACTGATGAGACGGCAGTTTTGGGATTTTGGATGGTTCCAGTAAATTGCGATATTTTGAGTGGAATGGGTTTCTTACAATTCCACAGATGTGGCGGAGAGTTTCGCTGAATGAAGAACACAAAATTCATGTGTCCAGTTTGAAAACCTCTACCAAGAAAAACATACAAACTGAAACCGCATAGATTCTCAACCAAATGGCGTAAAGTAATGGATGCTATTTTTTTGGTCTTTTTTCAGCGCATGTTTAGACTTTGACATGCTACAGGTCTGCCCATGTTCCCTAGAGTGTGTGAATAGTTGGAAAGTGCGAAAAATGCAAGAATGGCAACTGACCCGGCAAGAATCCCGCCGAAAAGTTGAAACGGATTGTTTTGGCTGAGACGGCAGAAATTACTTAAGCGACAATGACACTATTTGTTTAAGCCTGGGTTGTCGGAAAAATTTTATCCAGCCGGCAGGCCTAGGTATACATAGATATATAATGATATATATATATATATATTTATTTATTGATTTATTTATACACATATGCAATCATGTATATATATATATATATATATATATACAGATATATATATACATATATATATATATGTATGTATGTATGTATATGATTGTATATGTATATGTGTATGAAAAACGAACATGCGCATTCACAGATGTTGGTCTTATTAAACATTAAAGCATCTGGCGCCAGTAATGATCCCCAAATTATAACCATCCGAGGCGCTAGAGGTGCAAAATGCTGCACAGTTTTTGGAGGGCCACCAGTTACTGGATGGTTCGGAGATGATTGGATTTTTTTTGTACATTGGAACCAATTTCCTTCAAAAACTCCCCCCAACACGGGGGGGGTAGCGGTCTCACGCGCAGAAACTTGTGCGGGTTGTAAAAACAAAAAACATCATGACTTTGATTTAGTTTAGCTTTGTTTAGTTGTTTAGATTCGCGTTTCACTTTTTTTGGCCCGACTTTTTGGCAGCTTGCAAAGTCAAGAGCCATTGATGGCCATAGCACGAACCTTTCTTCGAGCCAATAATGTGCAGCAAACGATCCTGGTTGCACCAAATTTGGTAGCAGCATTTGGTGTCGCACATGGCCAAAGATGGATGAATTCGGTTAGTCACAAACATGCGGCATACCACCCAATTGCAACTTGAATAATGAGACACCATCAAATTTGTGGGCATATTATATATATATATTATAACATATATATACATATACATACTGTATGTGTACATACGGTATGTGAATATGCATATACCTCCGACCACCGGCCTCTGCTGATTTTTACCGGGCTGGTCAGCGGATGCTTGTCATACATGTTGCATGTGCGTTAGGGGGTGGTGCGAGTTCCAGCTCGCTGGCTGGAGTTTGCAATATACAAATTCCCCCTGCTAAACCGTGCCGGAAGGACACTCTTTGTTTGTGGCCATTCAGGCGGTTTTGGACTCTGACCCGAAAGGTGCCAGCAAAGGCACAACTTGGTGGGTGAAGTTCAAACATACCAAGGTGTAAGACTGTGGAAGTGATGGCAAGTTGGGCAGATGCGAGTCACTGTCCACATATTCAGTGTTTGATAAAGGTATAATCACATCCTAACATGACTGACACCACAGCATTTAACAAGTTTGCTACAGAATTTCGGATGCCGGTGGATAAGCGATCTAGACACCAACGCAGACAGAGTAAGGTGTCCCAAGCAAAAAGTTGGAGAGCAGCAATATGTTGCGGTACTTACTTATAAATGACCTATTTTATTACATGTTTATTCTCTGGACGTGATGATACAATCTCCCCGCAGCTATCCCGGCTTATCCCGTTTATTATTTATTGGTTTCATGTGTGCATATGTTATATGTTTGTTTATATTTCATACACATTTATATATTTATATAAGAAACCTATTAATTAATGTGTTTTTCCTTTATGCAACTTTAGTCATATTATATGTACATATATATATATTTATTTACATACATATATATATGTGTTTGCAAACATGCACACAATATATTTGTAGTATATATATATATTTACATTATATATATACATGTACCTTTATAATATATTCTCGTTATACTCGCCTGTATGTTTTGTATCCTCAGCTTAAAGACCTACGCATATCCTTTGCTGGCTCGCAGGCGGCGGCTGGTGAAGTCCACCGTGCATTGCTTTGATTGTGCAGATTCAAAACCGTTTGAGATAAGAACTATACCGTAAATGAATGTAAATGCTTTTGTTATATTATTTGGTCATATTTTGAGATGTTGTAGTTGGTCGTCATACTCATCATATTTGGAGATCATTGTGATAACCGGAGATATTTGGAGGTGATTTCATTTTATTAATTGGAAATAATCGGAGATCTGCGGAGATAATTATGATTTGCGCTTGTCATGTAACAGATTGCAGCAATTTTTTACCTCATTTTTTGAGGCAGTTGTGCTAGTTTGCACTGTAAAGATATGCTGCGGCCGCCGGAAAAGGTGGCCTTGGGCCATGAGCTCACAGGCTGTTCGAAAAGGTTGGCACAAAAAAGGAACTCGGCAGGTGCAGCCAAGAATGTCTATGTCCAGTAAAACAAGACATGGGCAACCACAGGAAGGTCCCCCCTAGATAGATTCAGTCGGTTTATAACCAAATCAACTAGGCTAAAGAATGAACCTATAATAACCTATAGATAGATATAGATACAGATATATATATATATATAGATCTATTATTAATTTGTGAGCCCCAAAAAATTAAAAGTCCACTTGCACTTGGCCCTTCTGGTACCTTCCAAGCCTTTTTTTTTTGGCTCAGCGCGGTGATCCCTTCACGCCGCGTTCGCGCCCTTCGCGGCCTCATGGAGTCCAGTTTCAAGCCAAAGCAAGCCACATGGGAAGGCCACATGGCAAGTTTAAATGGGGAAAAAATATGATTGACCTCTGGATTTTTCGAAAAGCCCTATTTTCAGACTCATTTGTTGGATGGCCGATGGCAACAGATGCAGAATGGGTTCATAATTGATGTTCAGATTATAACTTCACTGGGGATAGTTCGAACTACGAACATGGATTTGAATTCGTGAAGGACCCACGGAATGGGCTAAGAACATTTTTGTTCAATGGCTGGGACTAAAACCAACTGAGAGAAATGTGCATGGTATTCTGATTCTTCTTGAATTTTCATTTCGAAAAAATAGGTGGAGAATCCTGAGTGAGGATATCATATATTTTTCAGGCGGGTTGGACAGCACCAATCAGGATAATCAGGTTCGATTGTGTCCTTTGAATTCTCATCTCTGGCTGTCGGGTTGAGATTCCACGGAAGAAAGCTTCCCTGCAAATTGCAATGGGAGCTGCGAATGAGAGAACTAGAGTGAGGGATAGATAGAAGGCTGACCATGCTTTTCATTCACAGAAACCATGAGCTGGATAATGTTTTTGGTGTCCCAAGTCCTAGAATGTTGCTTCAAACTGCAAAAGTTCAACTAATCCAATCATGTGTTGTTGGAAAAAATGTTGGAGTCGTTGCCCCAGCCCGCCCAAACATTTCCTGTTAGTTTGTTCATGTTATTCATGTTTGTTCGCTTCAACCCATCCACTGATCCAGCCGGATGTTCATATTTTCCCAGTGGCTTCCTGGCAGATGGCTACAACGGTGAAGGCCATCACGAAGTCAACTTGTGACTTGGCTCAGGGTGGGATCAGGGCGTTATGATCATTTGCTGACCGCTGGCAGCTTGGCAATATTTCTAAAGATGTCCATGCGTGCTTTGCATGGTGGTACTCCCTCGGGCCACCCTGACCCCATTTGCTCTCACAACTGAGGATCCAATTGGAGAAGAAACTGCAACAGAGCTGAAGCCGAGCCAAGATGTTGTCTCATTTCCCACCCCCTGGAGAGCCAGCTAAGATGGAGTATGGCATGAATTTGATGACATACCGGAAATTCGCAATGGAGCAGAAAGGCAAGATAATGAACAAAGAACTGGATGTGTACCAATGATAAATTGTAATGTTGCCAGGCAGGACACTTCCCATGTTTCTCAGTCAAGACATTGGAGGATGACTGGTATGTTGTCACACATGGCATCAGAATGGCATTCTGTTGCACTTGATATTCAATCTGATATTCTCAGGCTTGTGAAGCTTGAGGCGTGCATATTTAGGAAGATAGCAAATATATTCAAATATATTCAAATGATTCAAATGTAAATCTTGCGGAGAGTTGCCCACTCCGCGCAGTTCAAATGACAGGAACCATAGTTTGTTTCGCATGGACGGTAGCTCGGGGTTAGGACTGAGTACTGTATTTTCTGAGCTCGGAGCTTGGCATTTGGGTCTTGTCTGAAAGTGGGGCGATCATCTCAAAATTATCAATACAGTATAGTAATCATTACAGGAAAAACAGTACAGTATAGAAAGCTACCAAGCAAATTTCAGATCATTTTGTGATATGTTATTGATATTCCCCAATTTTAAGGTATCATCAGTTTAATATAGTTTAATTAGCCACTTAGATTGCCACAACTCGGGGAGTCCGGCCTAGGCAGAATCTGCACGACTTGGTGGAGACGCGCTTTGAAGAGCACTTCAAACTGCTGCAGCCTGGAGTTTAATTATCGGATTTAATCGGGGTTAGTAAACTTTTAGTGGGATTTATGATATGTATATATATATATATTTATAAATATATATATATATATAATGGGGTTCCATGGAATATGAATTAGTGGAGTTCAATGGAATTGTATTGGGTTTTAATGTTTTTTTCTTATCGGGATTTAAAGGGATTTAATGGAATTTTATTGGGATTTATATAAAGGGATTTAATGGATCTTATTGGGATTCAAAGTGATTTACATAATATAATTTTATTGGGATTTAAAGTGACTTAAATAATTGATTTTATTGGAATTTAAAGGGATTTAATGGAAATTTATTGGGATTTTACATGGATTTAAATGAATTTGATTGGGATTTAAAGGGATTTACCGGAAATTCAATGGGATTTGATGGAATTTCAATGGGATTGCGATTTTGTTGGATTTAATGGTGATCTAGGGTTAATCTAATGGGATGATAATGGGATATCATGGGAGTTTCGGAGTGAAGCGTTTGCAATTATATTGTTGATTCCCCTGATTCTGCTATATTCTCCCCGATGTGGGGCTCAAATAAATGGATAAATCATGATAAATCCAATTTGATTCAATACGTTCTACCACCTTTTCCTTTGAGGTATCGCGGGGAAGGGATTATCGAGAAACCGGTTGGTTTTCTGCTTGGTGATGCGCATCGTAGTGGTCATGCCACAAGCTCATGCGGCCATTGGAATGGCCCACTTCAGCACACAGCGTTGTTGGATGCAGGAGCTGGTCAGTCCAGATGCAGCATGGAGCCAAAACGATCCAAAAAGGAAATACTGACTTAAACTGCGGAGTAAAGGGATTAAGTTCTACTGTATATTGTTTCAGCTTGTTTGAATAGCTGTCAAAGAGTTTTGATAGTCTGATGCGGCAAGTATTGGTTCCTTTTTTGGCTGGTATACTACTCAAGGACTCCTTTGGAAATGTTCGCTGGCTTGATTTTGACTCGGGCTCGTCATCTCATGCTTCAGACTGACACCTGTTTGAAAAGGCATTAGAGTACAGAGCACGCCATATATATATATATATATATATATATATATATGGTGCAGCGTTGGCCACCCCCCCTCCCCCCCTTCTGGTGGCCTGTGGTGGTGGTATGGTTCTGGTCCCCCCCCTGTGGCCTGTGGTGGTGGTATGGTTCTTCTGGTCCCCCGCCCCCTGTGGCCTGTGGTGTTGGTATGTTGGTATGTTGGTATGTTGGTAGGTATGTTGGTATGTATGCTGGTATGTATGTATGTATGTATGTATGTATGTATGGATGGAATGTAAGGTAAGGTAATGTAAGGTAAGGTAAGGCAATGTAAGGTAATGTAAGGTAAGGTAATGTAATGGTATGTATGTATGTATGTACGTAGGTATGTAGGTAGGTAGGTAGGTAGGTAGGTATGTAGGTATGTATGTATGTATATACACCACCACAGGGGCATCATACCCCCCCCCCATCCCATGGGGGGTGGGGGTGGGAACACGGGACACGGGACCATATATATATATATATATATTCTGGGAATTAATTTCAGAAACATGAGTTGTGAAAGACCCATGTGTCGTCCTGCTGGGCTTGAAGGTATAAGGCCATATAAGGCCAACTTCTCGTCACGATGGTGATAAAAAAAAAACAAAAAACGCATCTTAGAACATCATATCATTTTCGAGTAGAGTGATGACTCCAAAATTTCAACATATTTCAATACAGGGGCGAGAGAGATAGAGGTATAACAAAGGTATAACAATGGTATAACAATGGTATAACTTGGCAGTTGGAGTTGTGAGAGCATTTCAACTACGTATTTCTTTCTTCCGCTCCACCGGCTCCACCAGATGCCACCCTCGCCCAGGCAAGCGTCGCTCAACAGGTCGGCCAAAGCCGATGTTGATGAGGCAGGGCAAAAATTTCTTGATCCTATAGGAACCTCAAAGGAAATCCCAAGATGAACCATCTCCGAGTTGTTGAAAATGTGTTCGTTAATGTCAAACCTGGATTAATAAATTAAATGCCTAGGCTGTTTTTTTATTTTTTTTGGGGGGGTACCATTTATGTATCATCTAAAGTGACTATTTGGAGGGTACCCCCATAATTAATACCCTCTGGTAATTTAATGTAGCTATTGAAAACGACCATTTATAGTGGATTTTCCCATTAAAAATTGTGATGTTCAATAGCTATGTTAAATTACCAGAGGGTAAACCATGGTTTATAATTCGGAGTTGACATTATTTTGCAACCACACCCCATGTTTTTTTTTTTGGGCCGAGCTGTTGCATCCAAGGACTCTCAAGTAGAGTCGATGTATGAAGACAGCCAGGTGCTGGGCGATTGGGCTGGTAAGACCTTGTAAGACCTTGCCAGTACATGAGAATATGGTGCCAAGTTTCATGTTCATGCATTTTTTATCATTTGTTCATGGGATATTAGTTCAAAAAAGTTCAACTGGTGAATGATGGGATATTTTCCAACCAGTTTATACGTTTTTTTTTGCTGGATACCTGTAAGATTGGCACTGTAAACGTTCTGTTGGTAGCAGTAATCCAAGTCACAATGAGTCACATGAGGGATGCAGGCATAACGGACAGTTTTTCAAATGGCTCGACGGATTTGGATGTGCCAGGACTTCGAAAGAGATGCTCACATTGCCAACATGATGGCCCGCCGGGGCTCGTGGAAACAGATTTTTTTTTTGCGGAGTTTGATCTAACTGGATGTGCTGAAGATGATTTCTTCATATATATTTCTTATTTTCCCAATGGGAAATCCACTACTTGGGGAATCTATAGGGCTATAGGGAATATCCTTTATTTTTTGGGGGTTCCTTAAGCAAATCCAAGTCTGTAGAATTGGTGAAATCCCAGAAACCGAAGTCTGTTGACTTTCCGCGACGCAGGGCTAGCCATGGAGGTTTCTGGGAAAATCCTCGAACTAAATGGTGGATTTTCATGGATTTTCTATAGAAAACTATGCGTGACAACACCAGAGGGCACTTGTCCTGCTAGAAACCTTGTCATAACACTCCCGTGGCAGCAAGGACTTCATGATCAAATTGTAGGACTCCATTACCGGTACTGTCTTTGCAGTTAAGATAACTATGGAAAATGGATGCGCATGGCCCATGTATAGGTGATGTGGTGATGTTCCTACTAAAAAATGATGATGATCCATGGCTATTTTAAATTACCAGAGGGTAAGATCCAATTCTTTGATAAACATTGAATAACAATAAACATCAGTTATATCAAGGACTTATATATTTACATAACAAACACGTTGCTCAATGTTTCTGAGTTTCTGATGACATCGTTCGCGGGCAACCAACAGCCCCTCACTATTTGGCGGTGATGGTAGTCTGTTTAGATCGTTTGACCTGCGAGACTGCAACGGAGAGATGAGAAAATTAATGATCTCGTGGCACCTTCAGCATCAAGACCGCGGTTTTGACCTTTGATGGTTCATGACCCATCTCATGATGGATATATTCATATATATATATATATATATACATACAATCCTTTCAGCGTATCCCCAATGCCCAATGCTGTTTGTTGCCTCGCTTGGTGCAGGTTCCCGCCGCCAACACTGAGAAGTCGGAGGCCTCAGAGGCCGGAAACTCAGGGAACGATTGAATTCGGATGTCAAAAGCTACAACCGTCGTTTCCTCTAGATCTATTAAATATCTTACCCTCTGGTTATTTAACATAGCCATGGTATAGATGGCCCTTTTATAGATGGTTTACCTATGAAACATGGTGATTTTCCATGGCTATGTTAAATAACCAGATGGTAAATATCTCAAGTCAATTCACGGAATAGCTTTTCATCCATGTGCTGCGTTTTCGATTTGCCATGTCAAGGTGTCAAGTTCTGTAGCTATTCGGTGAGCAGTTGTTGATGCCTCCTGCAGCTCTAACCTGATAATTGGTGTGGAAAATGAACATGCTTTGTGTTGTGTCATATCAAAGTTGTCAACTTTGGTTTCACATATATATATATAATATTATATATACATCATTTTTTGACAACTTGGTGTGGAAAAAGATGATTGGCCAAGCCAGATGTTGATGAAACTTGGATGGTCCAATCCCAAAAATGACATCAATTCTGTGCCTTGTCGGGGCTCGCACTTTTAAAAAAAGAGTGCCAGCATCAAATCTCAGATGGCCAGCTGTGACTCAGGCAGACACTGCAGCGGACAGGTGTCACAAGAAGAGTTTGAGCATGCAGAGACAGGGCCGCAGAGATACCAAAGAATGATTTCACTTGCTTCATCCAGATTACTGTAGTTTTATGCCAACCATCTATGGTCCATCAAACTTTCTGATTTGGAGATCAGCCACTACCATCGATAGCATATTTACATATTGTTTTGCTGGATGAAACATCCATTTACCAGCTATTGTGGTTTTCACCAGGGGGTCAGGGTTTTGACCCATAGAAATTTCTGGATTTGTAGGGCCCGGCTTGAATCACTCCAACCCACCAATGCATTACGTGACACTTTTGTCATGCCCATCGTGGCTGACATCGAGACGAGTAGTTTTCTTGGATTGAATGGCCAGTTCGATAAGGAACATTTTGCCACGGCGGTGCGCAGTACAATAATCACAGTCTCAGCTGATAGGCCCCACTAGCTTGTATAAGGACTTAACTTGCAACCAATCATTTTGATAAGGTCTATCAACCAAACAGTAGAAACAGTGGATAGTCAATATTTTTAGAAATCAGTGAGCTCTGGGTCAATCTATGTCAATCTTAGTTTCTTCAAATGTGAACCATTCGGAACTATTCGCCATTTTGCTGGGGGCAATATGACGCGACATCCACCGCTTCGCACTCAGGACCCAGGGGATCAAAAAGGGCGACTGGAAAAGTTTGGTCATAGAGAAGTTGGGCCGCCGTGTCTTGGGATCATTTGGTGATGGGATGGGCACACGTTATGTATATATATATATATATACATATATACAGTGTGTGTGTGTATTATATTTTGTTGACTGAGTTCTATAATGTTCACCAGGGGGTTTAAAGCGGTTCAGGTGCCAAGGCAAGGTCGTGAAAGGACTTCCAATTCGGCTGCTTGGGTTGTTTGGGAATGGGTGGTTGTTGTTGTGCACTTCTCAAGCCAGGTTCCTCTTTTTCCATGAAGGCAACGAAGTGGCATGAAAACTTTCCGGTGGTAACATGTACGTAAGAACATACAATGAAGCCATTCCTCTTGCGTAGCCATGGCGCCCCTTCCCTGACTGGCAAATCTGTTGTTCGGAGTCGTCCCCATGCTCCATGCCTTTAAAAATGCGCCCCTAGTGGCATGTGTAGCGCATGACTGAGTAGGGTTGTCTGAAATTGTCCATCTCAAAATATCAACTGAGTTCTGACCACTGCCCAGACAAAATTTAGGAAGAAGATTCCCCAATCAAGCGCCTTTCTGTTTTTCCAGGGTATACTGGGATATTATTATTATTATTACTATTATTATTATGCGTATATATATATGTGCAAGAAATATACACACCCTTACGTCCACTGGCTCATCATTTTTTCACGTATAAATTTAAACTACTCCACGGCCACCGCCTCGCCGATCAGGTACTCGTCGGCTTCTTAGGCTCGCAGAGTCTCCGGCCGCCGACGGACCTGGAAACTTGGACGTCGAAAGTCGTCGTTAAGTCCTTGGAGAACAATGAGTTTTTGGTATAATGTTATGGGATATTAATATAGTTTTATACAATTTTGAGATGTTTTTGATATTATTATCTTAGTTTTTTTTGCTGTTATTATATAAACAAGATCTAAGATCATTCGCTTAGATTAATGGATTTGATTTTGGATAGTATGATGTTGTGGGATATGTCACTGTGGCATTACAGGATATGCTAGTAACTAGTAACGACGTAAAAACAATTTGGGGATTTATCGGTTTGAAGATAGGGACTGCCCATAAAATTGCAGGTTGAATTGGGATGAATTGGGCAAATGATGACGAGCCATCGGGCTTGTAGGGAATGTAGGAGTACATACCGCATTTCAAGACAATCCATAGTCTTGGCTTCTCCTGGCCGGATGCCAGATAACCACGAAAGCGAATCTTGGAGGCAGGATTCAACCAGATCATGCCTGTAGTATAAAAAGTATTTGCCTGCAGTTACACCACCAAATGCCCAAATGCACCCAGAAAAAAAAAAATACTAGATGCACACTTTAGGCGATGCTGCGTGTGGCTCTTTCTGGGTGGGTTTGCCTGAGGTTGCCCTATCTAGATTGGACACACCTATCAAGATCTGGATGAGGGTTGCCACCGTGTCAACCATTAGCAAGAGTTGATTATCCAGTTACATTTGTCGGAGACTTTTCGCCTGTCCTCACGTATTCCCACTTTTTGATGGCAATGTATGGCAATTGTAAATTGTAAGCTCCATTGGTATCCCATGAGCATCAATGAACTATCCCTTTACGAACTAATTCGTCGCAGACCCCCAACCGCCCAGGGAATGGCAAGCGGGCCGCCATCGTGGTGCATACAAAGCGGCCGGATGAACAGATTGAGAATCAGATGCTTGGCTCATAATGTTTTTTTTGATTGTTAATAATGATTGATACTCCATCATAATCTGACTGGTCTTTTTTGAATAGTTATCATCTTTCAACCATAGATTCGTTGAGCTGACGAGCATATTTTCGGCGTTGGGTTAAACATGGCTAAACCACCAACCAGTACTCAATCTCCCTTTGGATGGTATGAGATACCTCTGGAACATGGACTGACAAATGCCATTTATGGATCGTATATCGGTATATCCCTTTAAAACTGCTGATTTGCCATAGTTATGTTGAATTAATATGAATTAATGTCTCGAGTTAAATGGCTATGGCTGTGTTGGCTCTTTTCTTCAACCCTGCCTGTCCTATTTTCCCAGTGGTTGGTTGGATGTGGCTGATGAATGGAGGCGTACCAGGCCGTCGTGGCTCACAATCAATGGGTGAGTGATGATAATTGAGCTACACAATCAGCACTTCTAGTGTTTGCAAACTAGAGACCATCGTGCTGGTCCAGGACATATTCATTTTGTTGGAGATTTAATGCTTTTATCAAAGTTTTCTCAGCAAACGGATCATGGGACTGACACATTTGAATGCGTTTGCCAACTTTCCTTCAATCATCATAACAGCCATGTATTTGACATGGGTTGAAAGTAGAAGCCCCAAAGCAAAACTGGGTATATAAAAGTAAAAGTTGGAGATGCATCGAGCGGATTACGTTTTTATGCACCCCAACACGGAATACTACAACACCCAAAAACTCAGCCGGACATGGCGGGACTAGGCATCAAAAAATCATGGAGAAAAAAAACATGATAAAAACGGGGTAGTCTTAGAGGATAAACTCTTAGTTTTTACCACGTTTTCATGAAAGAGCCACAGAGTCACTACCTTTCTTTGGGGATTTTTTGTCAGTTCTGCTCTTCCATGGCGTCAAAAGCCGTGACTTTTACGGCAACGTGTCACAACACGGCAACGTGTCAGGAGCAAAGTGCGGAAATGGGCTGGATATATGGTCTACTCCCCGCTCCTTGGAAAGCAAGGATGTCCCATATGGATGGCCCAGATGGATGTGGCCAAAACCTTGTGACAGGTTGGGTTTTGAGATGTTTGGAGGTTGTCACCTCCAATGAAAATCATGAAGAGAATCCCTGCTACCCAACAATGAGCCAATATAATCCGAAGGGGTGCCACCGACCTCTTTGCACACCATCCAGAACCCAGGCTGTTCTCGTACACCATCACCTTGTTGATCTTGCTGCACGTGATTTTGCTTGGGGTCGAAGTGGATCTTTCAGCCTCAGTAGCGCTGGAAGATATGCCATCCTGGCCTCTTGTTTGCAAAGACTTGAAGGGAGTTGGAGGTACTATGTATGCGTAATATAAAATATGAATATAAATATATATATATATATATACACATATACATACATATATATATATATACATATACACACGCACACATGCACATACATATACATATATACATATTTATTTACACACATATATATATATATACATGTTATCACATTGTTAATCTGCAGCACCATTGTTAATCTGCAGCACACATAGTTTTTATGATTTTGGATGTTTTTGTTGCGTTTCTTTACTCAGCACTTTCCAAATTGATCATGTGGGTGCCATTTTTTCTTTACTTCATTGAACGTTATTGCTATGTACCTTGTGCTTGCAAAACCCTGAGCACTTGGTCGAAACCCAGTCATACCCACTTTCGCTGGTTTCGGAACCCACCCCCCGACTTTTGGAAACACTGCGGGCATCTCAAAAGATGATGTAAATATAAAACATGAGAACTCAGTCAAACTCATATGGAACAACATGGAAGAACCACACGTTCTTTGGCACTTCAGGTTCAGTACATTCAACGCTGTCAGCGTCACATGCTTCGTCATTGAATTGATCCTTAAGCCGCTCAGCTGCAGGTAATTCAGGCTTTAGTTCGACATTATGCAGTAGCAAATGGTTAAGAGTGATCAGTTAAATATAGTATATTAAATTACTTTACTTCGTGTGATCCCCACCATGACATTTATACATTTTCTTACTGGCAAATCTTCTGGCATTCTATCTGACATATCTTCTGACATTCTATTTGACATTCTATCTGGCATATCTTCTGGCATATGATCTGGCATATCTTCTGGCATATCTTCTATTCTATCTGGCAAATCTTCTGGCATTCTATCTGGCATATCTTCTGGCACTCTATCTGACATATCTTCTGGCATTCAATCTGGCATTCTATCTGGCATATCTTCTGGCATATATTCTGACATATCTTCTGGCATTCTATCTGACATATCTTCTGGCATATATTCTGACATATCTTCTGGCATATCTTCTGGCATATCTTATGGCATATCTTCTGGCATATCTTCTGGCATATTTTCTGGCATTCTATCTGGCAAATCTTCTGGCATTCTATCTGGCATTCTATCTGGCATATCTTCTGGCATATCTCTGGCATCTATCTGGCATTCTTCTCTTCTGGCATTCTATCTTCTGGCATATCTTCTGGCATATCTTCTGACATTCTTTCTGACATTCTTTCTAACTTTCTTCTGCACATTCTTTGTCCCATATCTTCCTACATGAGGTCCGGCAGGGAACACTTGGCGTGGATACTCGCGGTTGAGGTCCGGCAGGGAACACTGGGCGTGGATGGTCGTGGTTGAGGTCCGGCAGGGAACACTGGGCGTGGATGGTCGTGGTTGAGGTCCGACAGGGAACACTGGGCGGAGATGGTCGTGGTTGAGGTCCGGCAGAGAACACTATGGATCGCGGGTCGCAGTTGAGCAAGGACGACGAGGACGACGAGGACGACAAGGACGACAAGGATGACAAGGAGGACGAGGAGGAGGAGGAGAGGAGGAGGAGGAGCAGGAGGAGGAGGCAACTGACATAAAATCTAACAACCCTCACCTGGCAGGTGGGGAAATACAACATATATATTAATATAACATTACTTGGATCCCCTTGATCGTGGAAATTTCCACACCAAAGCCAAAATCGATCAATTTTGCCAAATTCAAGAGAAAAAGAACTCCTGAACGGTTATTTCCACTCCAGAACGCTTCCGAACGGTTTTGAACGCTTTTTGAACGCTTTTGAACGCTTTTTGAACGCTTTTTTCCACTCCAGAACGTCCGAAGTGTCAGGAACGGCAAAAACCACTCTGGTGTTCTTTTTTCCACACCAACCCCAAAATCGATCTTTTTTGGGTTTGGAGTTAAAAAATGCAGTATTTGGGAGCTCCAGGTATTAGTGCTTGGAACAGTTGAATGCTGAGTAGTACTGGTGGTCAGTATATGTTCTAATTATAATGCTTAGAAAAGTGAAGAGTGATTGGCAAGGGTTCGCAATGGTTAAAAAGGGTTGGTGTTGAGTATTGTAATCTTGGCAAGCGGAGTCCCAATCGTGTACGGATGTTGTCAATTGTTTTTTGATAAAACAGGGGAGACTCCCCAGTCACCAGTCACACACACATATATATATATATATGCACCTAAACTTAAGGTGGACCAACAAAAATGAATAAACATTGGTGAGACTTGGGTTCGGAAGATTATTTTCATACAAACTACAGTATTGAATCAGTATTGTTATGTTTCTTTTCTTTAGTCTTCATTTTTTGAGGTGGAAGTATGTACATCTATAAGGGGCACCGATGAGGTCAATGGGTTCGAGGGCCACCGTGAAAACCAACCCAGGTTCGTTGCACTTGGCTGCACTGGATTCTGGTACGGTAACTTGGCGGCGTCCGTCGGCGTGGACTCATTTTGGGGTCCAATATTGGGTGGGTATGCAATATTTGGGGGACCATTTTCCCCGGGATCATGGTTCCAAAATGATTGATGTGATTGGCCCGGTTGGCCATCAGAGGCGCTTCCTGCATATTAGGGGATATTATGATATTGTATGATCTTGTGCAAGCTCAAGTATATATCATTAAACTTTGCATTTGCATTGCTATAGTTCCTATAGTTAAAAATTAAAAGGCACTGTACAATTCCATAAGTATTGATATTATACAGAATTTCAGAAGGTACATAGCTGCCTGTCGCTGGTTGGACTTTTGGCATCATCCTGTCTTCTGTTCAGAAAACGAGGCTCAGATGCCTATTGGAATATCTTTGATTTCATAGTCATTGCCGTTAGCGTGGTTGCGCCTTGGATATGATGGAAATCGGGGATATTTGGAGCGGTGAAAGGAGCTATGGAGAGATAGTTGGAGCTACCAACTGAGTTTTCCAACCACAGGGTAGGTTGTTATTGAGTCAGCTTTTCAGAGAAAATCGCTTTCTGGTTTTTGAGCAGATGGGCTTCAAGATTCTTCACTCACGCGGTTATCTTGGAGTTGTTTGACTCCATGATCGCAGTGTCTACATTTGTAATGGGTTTGCGGATGTCAGAAAATAGGGTTACAGACAAAAATCACAATGTGTTTCTTGTTTTACCTCAACAATTGACCTCAACATATTCTCATCAAAAGCATCATGAGTGGGTTACCCTCCAGTAAGCTTACATAGCTATGGAATTTGGTTCTTATACATATATATATATATATGCATATATGGGTGTAATATTTATATACATTTACGCATACATATGTAGATGATATACCATGACATACCTCTAAAAAAGGCTGATATTCCACTGCTAGTATTAATAGCTGCCACTTTCGGCCAGACGCGAGGTTTAAGAGGTTCAAGTCCATGGTCTCATGGACCTGGAATGGGCTGGATATGGCTGGACCCTGACAAACCCTTCATTTACCATCCCCCCAACTGTTTTAGAGGAAGAAATATAAAAGAAAATATAATGAATATTGAAGACTACTATCATGTCCTTTGGAAAAATGGAGGCACAACTCCCGGGAGGGTCTCAGTTAGAAGTTCCGAGGACGTGGTCCTGGACTTTTGGGCCAGGCTGCTATCTCCTTCCATGAGCACGGGTCAGCTGAGGCCCCAAGGGAAATTCATGAAATTCATGAAATTCATGATCCAAATCGGTGATTTGGCTTCCATGTGTGTTTCTTTCGGATGTACGGTGTAGTTTTTGGAGCTGCCATTGGTTTGCAGCTGCTGAACTCATACACATACCCACCTTCACTGTTTGTTTTTTTTTAAATAGTTGCAGTTGTTTCGGATGTTCTTCCCATGTGTTTTTTTCCGAAATTGAGGTTGTTACCCACATGTCTGGCCATCTAGGTTTGTGGTGATATAGTTCTCCTACATGGCCATCGAAACATTAGAGATTGATTCGGGAATAGCCACAAATTGAGATTCTTAGCCCTTTTGGGACTAGATGGTTGCGATTTAATCACATGTGATTTTATGGGATCAAGAAAGCACCGAGACTGGTGTAGCCCATTCTCACCATTTTGCACGATCTTTCACCCACAACCATTTGCCAAAAGATGGTGCCCTCCTGGTTCTGTTTGCTGGTAAATAAATCACCAACTGTAGACTGTAGTTATCTACGATATAAATCATCACCACAAACACCAGTTAAGAATCTATTTATAGAATATTAGAATGTTATAGTAAATTAATGTAGATTATACTGTAAGCAATCTGTAAGCCAACTTGGCATGAATCAACCCACCTTTATATATAATAACATATATTATATATATATATCTTGAAATACTGGTTAAATGCTCATTCTTGTGGCGTTTCACCCCATTTCTTCATGGGCTCCAGTGGTCCGGTCTGTCCAGGCTGCTCCGCAGCATCCGCTTCGCGCGCGCCTTGCGCAGCATTCGCATCGTCCGACTCTTTCGGTACATCGGCGCCCTGCGGACCTTGGCTCTCAGCATCCTCAGCACCATGGTGCCACGGGGCTGGACCATCAAGAAACAAAAAATCGGATCAGTGTATATTAGCAGTTATATATATAATATATATTATATTATAAATATATATATATATATTATATATATACATCATTCACATTCATTTACACCTATGGATGCTTGCACACATGGGTTATGAACCACCATTGGTTCACAGTGGACAAGATGGTAGCCTTATGTCATGGAACTGGCGCAAGGGTGTGTAAAAGGGCTTCCATAATTGGAATTATCATGAATGATCACTCCCATTAATGTTATTATTCTTGTTTTTGAGCCGTATTAATACACATATTTGTATATGCGGATATGTTTAAAGTATTTTAAAGTCTCATTTACCGCTATACTTTGAATTGCTTTAGATATTGCCATCACGATAAAGAGTGCCTTCACTTGGCAGTTTGCCTTTGAGAGATTCCATGTGTCAGATGCCTCAGGAAACATCAGGGGTTGTGCCAGCATGCCTCGGTGCCATGAAATGGGACCGTGGGACCCTGAATACCTTGAAAAAGGTAACAAACCTTACGCGCAAACCCGCAATGTTGTGTGATTGTGAAATTGTGAATTGTGTGCCGTATTTTTTGTAGTTGGCTGTTGTTTGTCGAACAATTGTTGAACTGTCCCTTAGGCTTCATAGGGCTTCACAGAATACCAACCCCTTCTGCAATTTCTGTCATTTCCAGATTTGCAGGTGTCGCTCTTTTGGACCTTAGCGCTCTTGATCATTATTTTCTATAGCTTTGGCGTAGCTGCTTGTCAGAAAAGTGGAAGGCTGGGCCAAGGTGGGGCATCCAGAGTGTCCTGGATCCCACACATTCCAAGGTCTTAACGCAGCTGGTGGTGGAGCATTGCCGTTTCCTGGGCATGGATTCAGGCGCTGGCAAGGTAGCTCCCATGTCCTACTGCCCTGGAGAGCTGAGAAAATATTGGGCGAATGTGCCTGAGAGCAGCTCGGCTAAGGGGGCTGGGACCCTCTAGATAACGAGTGATGAATTCCATTCCCCAAATACTAAAAGTTGGAGTGTTCCAAAATGTTGGTTTCAACCAAGGTGTTGTTTGGGGTGTATTTTTTTGAATGTTTAGGGATACATTAAACTGGTGGTGTTTATGGAGGATATATCTACGGTTGGATGGGCTTGCACACTAACTAACTCCCTGTGCTTGGGTGATCAGAGGTGAATGATATAAGATATAAGGTCCATATTAGGACTAGGAAGTCACAGTAGATGATGGTTGGCAAGAGGACCTTCCCGAAAACCGTATCATTTCAGCTCAGCGAAAGCCAGATTTTGTTTGTTGCTCTGCTCCTGTTAGGAAAATTCCTGAGACATAGACATGGAGCAGAGGAACATCACAGCTAGAACAGAACTAGTATGCAAATTCAGCTGTTTTAGGTGTACATAAAATTTGCAATCACCTTCTTCTCAGTGGTTCACGCGCTACTTACCAACTAGGTTTGTAAGTGGGGTAACAACCGATAACCGTAACCCCATTTAAGGGACTCATGAACCAGGATTACTAGTCACGATTCGTGGGTCCTTCAAGTATCCTTGCCCCGGTAGGGCGAGTGCCGCATGTCCAAGGTATGCTAACACTCTTCATGGCTATCTCTCAAGGCAAGGAGAGAGGGAAACAAGCGCAAACTTTGCTTAATGATTGGCATATGATAATGAATAAAATATTGTAAAAAGAGTGCCATGTCCAATAAGAAGCACATCTTCGATTTTCCCAGGCTTCATCCTGAATTCAGGGTGTGTATAAAGATATGTAAACATGTTGGGTCACTTGAAAAGACCCATTTTTTCAGGCGGCAATTTGAAGCAATATCTACTGTAGACATCCCCGTTGACATTTCCCATTTAGAATGGTAGGCCTTGGGCCCCCTATAAATCAGTTTTTATGTTTTTTTTTTGGTGCCGTCGGGGCACTCCATTCTGTAGAAAGAGACCTGTTTGTACACACCCAACATCACTTTATATGAGAACAAGATCATATGCCAGTGTCAGGCACCTCCATTTTGTAGAAGATTTGGAATACCATTTTGTAGATGGGTACGGGGAGTTGATAAATACATCCACAAATGTAAATATATTTGAACACAAAAAAATATCAACCGCTTTTGGTTGGCTCAGCAGTGCCGGCCGCTTCCCCCAAGCCCTCGAACTAGCTGATTGTCAGTGGCCATGCTGCGCTTTCACATGGCGTTCCTGCTGATCGTGGGATTGGTTGGGGAAGGCGTCAAGGTGGCTGACGACACAGCCACACAGACGCCAGAGGAATGGCATCTTGTCTTCAAACGTGACTGATTGGGACAGTTGCCAGGAATAGGACAACTCCAAGAAAGACACTTCAAGAATTGGGCGCAGTTTTCAAAAAAACAAGGAAACTTTTTTGTTTTTACCAATTCCATTTGGAGCTACAAAATGGTAGGCCATTTCCATTGGCAGCTACAAAATGGTGGGATACAGAAATAGTTAGACCATGTAGTCTATGAATGGGGACCATCCATTTTGTAGACTGGTATGGGCTAGCTGGCCAGAGTTTGCAATGGGTTACCCAATGTTCTTTTACTAAGGTGGTTCAAACCAGAACAACACAAAGAGACGCTTCTGGATTGGATGTCCTGGTTGTCTTGCCGGGTGCAGAAGCGGTACCACGTGCTAGACCTTAACTATTTCTGTATCCCACCATTTTGTAGCTGCCAATGGAAATGGCCTACCATTTTGTAGCTCCAAATGGAATTGGTAAAAACAAAAAAGTTTCCTTGTTTTTTTGAAAACTGCGCCCAATTCTTGAAGTGTCTTTCTTGGAGTTGTCCTATTCCTGGCAACTGTCCCAATCAGTCACGTTCGAAGACAAGATGCCATTCCTCTGGCGTCTGTGTGGCTGTGTCGTCAGCCACCTTGACGCCTTCCCCAACCAATCCCACGATCAGCAGGAACGCCATGTGAAAGCGCAGCATGGCCACTGACAATCAGCTAGTTCGAGGGCTTGGGGGCAGCGGCCGGCACTGCTGAGCCAACCAAAAGCGGTTAGACCAGGGTGCGACCACAGGGTTGCTTTGTGTCTTACAAAATGGTTCTCCCATTTTTCACAGTTTTTTGGACACTATGTTAACCCAAAATACTTGATGTTGGTGGGCAAGTGGGGTACCCTGGTGCCACCATTTTGTAGGCAGCAACCCCCATGGGCGCTACCATTTTGTAGGTGTCCCCATACCATTTTGTAGGGAGGTAGGCTGGGCACCCTACACTTTGGTAGGCCCACCCTCTCGGGGCGAATTTCAAGGGGGATGAAAGCTAGATGTTTTTTTTAAATGACTTTCAAGGGCCCTCCAGAACCATCCAGAACAAACAATCTGTCTACAAAATGGAAGGGCGCCATCACATCCACAAGCATGATCCCCGTTGACATTTCCCATTTAAAATGGTAGGCCTTGGGCCCCCTATAAATCAGATTTTATGGTTTTTTTTTGGTGCCGTCGGGGCACTCCATTCTGTAGAAAGAGACCTGTTTGTACACACCCAACATCACTTTATATGAGAACAAGATCATATGCCAGTGTCAGGCACCTCCATTTTGTAGAAGATTTGGGATACCATTTTGTAGATGGGTAAGGGGAGTTGATAAATACATCCACAAATGTAAATATATTTGAACACAAAAAATATCAACCGCTTTTGGTTAACAGAGAACCAGTGCTGAATGAAGCAGGAAACCTATGGAAACCTAAGTATGTCTCCCACCTGCCCATCAACTTCAAGTATTTTGGGTTAACATAATGTCCAAAAATGTGAAAAATGGGAAAGCTAGATGTTTTTTTTAATGACTTTCAATGGCCCTCCAGAACCATCCAGAACAAACAATCTGTCTACAAAATGGAAGGGCGCCATCACATCCACAAGCATGATCCCCGTTGACATTTCCCATTTAAAATGGTAGGCCTTGGGCCCCCTATAAATCAGATTTTATGGTTTTTTTGGTGCCGTCGGGGCACTCCATTCTGTAGAAAGAGACCTGTTTGTACACACCCAACATCACTTTATATGAGAACAAGATCATATGCCAGTGTCAGGCACCTCCATTTTGTAGAAGATTTGGAATACCATTTTGTAGATGGGTACGCGGAGTTGATAAATACATCCACAAATGTAAATATATTTGAACACAAAAAATATCAACCGCTTTTGGTTAACAGAGAACCAGTGCTGAATGAAGCAGGAAACCTATGGAAGCCTAAGTATGTCTCCCACCTGCCCATCAACTTCAAGTATTTTGGGTTAACATAATGTCCAAAAATGTGAAAAATGGGAAAGCTAGATTTTTTTTTTTATGACTTTCAATGGCCCTCCAGAACCATCCAGAACAAACAACCTGTCTACAAAATGGAAGGGCGCCATCACATCCACAAGCATGTTCATGATACTCTGGCACTACCATTTTGTAGCTGGTTCATGCTGGTTCAAGACATATTTTGTAAGAATCTCGAGTGCCAAGCTACATGGGTTTGTTGGAGGGGATTGTGGTGGCTGCCTTTGCAATAGGCTTGGCGATGGGGATCCTACTTAGAAAGTGTGTCTGCCGACCATGTGGATTTTGTGGTGGAGATGATCGCAAAGTTTTCAAAGCCTCCAAAATTTTGAAACCAGCCCCGGTCCAGAAAAAAAACGCGATGACCACTACTTCGGTCCAGTCTATCTGACTACTTCTGTTGGACGATACTTTATGAAACCCGATTGCCAGATGCACAAAATGCAAAAATGTGAGATATGCAAGGATTGCTTGAGAGATTTTAAGAAGAAATTTCATTCAAGGTAAACTGTCTACAAATTGGTCGCCCAAAAAAGACTAGGGTGCGACCACAGGGTTGCTTTGTGTCTTACAAAATGGTTCTCCCATTTTTCACAGTTTTTTGGACACTATGTTAACCCAAAATACTTGATGTTGGTGGGCAGGTGGGGTACCCTGGTGCCACCATTTTGTAGGCAGCAACCCCCATGGGCGCTACCATTTTGTAGGTGTCCCCATACCATTTTGTAGGGGGATAGGCTGGGCACCCTACAGAATGGAGCTCTCATCGTCTCGGGGCGAATTTCAAGGGGGATCTGTAGACAAGATATGATGTTTTTGAACGTTGATCATGACTAGAGATACAGTACAGATGTGCCCCAGGCAAGTCCGCCCAAGGATCTGTGACACCCCTAAGTCCACTGGTGCTCATTATCATCCCTGTTTTGGACATAACTATTGGGGGGTATACTCATCATATTGTTGGTTGGTGTTTGTTATGTATCCCATTATATCCCATTCAACCCCATTGAGTTCCATTGAATCCCATCAAAATTCCATGAAACAAAATTCCATTAAATCTCGTCAAAATCACATCATTCCATCCAAATTCAATTAAATCCCATTAAATCCGGATTAAATATGATTAAATACCAGATTAACTCGCATTAAAATCCCATGAAGTCCCATTAAAATATGGCCAGACCAGTGGCCTTTTGACCGCCAGGCCTGAACTGGGAAGATGCCATGGAGCCCCTGCGCGACGTCTCGGTCCTGGCCGTGGTGCTTGTGATCCTCTATGTGACACGCCTTGGGGAAGGGAAAAGCTACGTTGCCTACCCAGTAGAATAAGGATATCACAGGGATATACTGGGTATATAACCAATGATATATATATTTATATATATATATATTTATTTATTTTTTTATTTACGTATTTACTTAATTATTTATTTATTTATTTATTTGGATGTGACCCGGTTGGTAATCAAACACGGCTTGCTAGAAAATGCTCGTTGATTATAGTTCGATATTTTCGCATTGAAACCTCCATTTATTTCAATTTATATGTAATATATGTATGTACACAACGCAACGCAACGCAATGCAACGCAACGCAACGGAATGGAATGTTATGTAACGTAATGTATGCATTGGGTGTGTGTGTATATATATATATATGCTGACAGGACGTCCAATTGCCATGTTTGAGTGCCAGAGGATAACTGTTGGGGTTATGCAGTTATGGTGACTGTGACTATAACAATAGTAATTAAGTATAGTTAGCGGAGTTACTGTAAATATATTTTAAAGATGCAGGTTATCTCCCAGTTCGTTAACTAATTTTGTTTACAACCAGGGCTCACGGACGTATTCATGTTGATTTCTAACTGGAGCTAAACTCTCCGTGTGGGAGGTATGTATTCGAGCGATTGTTCATGTAAAAACATGCATTTTGATATGTAAAACGATATAGTGAACTCCCAAAAACGATAACATGGGAATCAGTTCATGTGTGAAAGCATGCTGGGATGTGAAGGGGTGGTGTACATGACATGATGGTGGATACCTGTTCTAGAAGCATCTAGATCATGCTCTCAGTTGTGGGGCATACGTCATGCCCAGTTCACACAACGGAAGATGTGCAAAAGTATGCTGACACTCTTGATCCTGGCCAATTTCTTTATGTCTGATTATTGCAAACGGTTTTGTAGCCAATCACGTATTGTTGTGTGGTAACTAGCTGGATTTGGATGCTCTTTTTGTCTCGCCATTGTTCAAGCCTTCCGGATGTGCGTTTTGTATTTTCGCGCTTTCATGCAAGTAGTGACGATGACAGCTGGTCTCCTTTCCAACTTTCCTTGGTTCATGCCATTTTCCCAAAAATGTTTCCCTCTTTGAACGATAACGAAAACAATGACGAAACGATAAGCATTTCTTGACAAAATGTCCTTCGCTGATGGATTGCCCAGATGCGAAAAGATTCTTGGGATGATTCTTTGCCCTTGCATATTATCACTTGCTTACTGCGATCTTTTCGCTGCTATGCATAATATTCTTTGCAACGCTCCATTGATTTAGTCAATCCCGGTTCATCTCGGGCGCAAGCAACTGCACCTGCAGGTCCGGTTTGATGATCTTTATCCTAGATGAAGATAGCCAAGGCAAAGGCATTGGACCATGTTGATGGTTTGCTACGCAGACGCTGGCGAGTGAATGAAAGGCATGGAGCATGTCGCTGTGAGAGCTCACCCGGACTTCTTCCAACAAACTGAATTCAAAGCTTGTTTCTGAGCTTGAGAAAGGATGGTGCGACTGTGATTTGCGGTTGCATTGGCAGGTATCATACCGTACCATGCAGTTGGAGCGCTGCAAAAGAAAGCGCAGGGCAGTCAAAGATGCTGCAGACGCTGAAGTGGAGGTGTAAAACGGCTTTCCGCATGCAGTTTGCCAGGGGATGCGGATGATGCAATCAGGATATACTGTAAAACGATAAGCCGGATAGCGAACTCCCAAAAACGATAACTTTGACAAAAAATCGCATTTTTCAATTAAGGTTTTGTGCCGATCTCTCTCTCTCTCTCTCATATATATATATTGTTTTTTTGACTGGGGGGCAACACCGGTTGAAAGACAATGACATCCGGGCAGACGTTTAAATACTTTTGGCTAAACCAAAAGGGAACAAGCAGCAAGATGTAACATGTTTGTTTGCAGGGCGGCACTTGCCACGCCGGTAATTTACTGTGTATGTATAAAATACTTTTGTGTATATATATATATGTATATATACATAGAATTATATATATATATATATCTGTATATACACATTGTCAACAGGACCAGGGCCCTCAACCACTTTGACTGCATTTGCTGTCTGAAAGTCACCGTTTGCCTTTGGGCGTTGATTCCTTATGTTGAATTTGATTCGTGGGGAGGGGCATGATAAAACACACGTTACTGGCAACAAACTGTTTAAACATTTGCTGAAATCTGCCATGTTTTTTGATTGTTCTTCTTATGTAACTGTGTTTTTTTTTCTGTTTGCTCCTTTATCTTAGCTGTTTCAATTTTTGAATTTCAAGAGATGCTGCACTGAATCCCAGGTGAAACTAGAGGACCGACGAAACACGACACAGATGAATTTAGCGTAAATCTGTTGAAACTGTGGGGACCGGAATGGTAGTCAGCCAGATAGTTCAAGAGACAGCAACAAATTTCTCCATGTTTCTCCATAAATGTCAGGGTATATATATATATATATATCATGCCGATCCACATGTCCACCTTGAAAAGACTTGCCAACCATTGCTAGGCCAGCTAGGCCTCTGTTTTTTGTACTTATATTCATTACATTCAGCTGTTGACTTCCATTTTTTTGAAATGGTAGGGTAGCAGTAGGGTACCAGGGTTTTGACCCACAGGGTTGTCAATTTGGGTGAAGATCCACACGGGACTTGACCCAGCTGCCCAGGTAGTCATCACAGTCTTTGCTATTCTAAATGCCCCTCGGCGCCCGTCATTCTTACCTGCTATGGCACTACCAGCCATTGAATTATGTCGAATTAGATTGAATTGTGGATCTTACTTTAAAAAAAGGAGGGATGTTGACAAGAGTTGGTTTCTCCCAATGTTATGGATTGTACCGGCACGAATAGGGGTAACAACAGAGGGATTCACCAGCCATGGCTGGGACGGGATGTTTCTGAGTGCAACGTTGCCAGGTTCCGCAGAACAGAGCGTCAAGGATGCTTAAAACATGAGTTGGGGATTGACATTATTGATATATTAGCATTGGTCGCAGCAATGCCAACATTTGGGATGATTTTCGATATTGGATCTATTGGATCATACTGGTTTTGGAACAACCATTTCCTTCTGGACATCAAAGGTAAGATTGTGACTAGCTCGACAAACCACCATCACTGGGTATAACCCGACAACGCGTGGATGGAGATCGCAGAGGTGGAAAACAACCAGCCAACATGAGAGCCAAAAATGAGAAAGGCGTTATATCTATGATTATAGACATGAGTTTGGATAACCTTCGTGTTTTGGTTGCTTCAGAGAATTGATGGGTGATTATATAATATTCTGGAAATGCCACCAGTTGGACAGGACATGGACATCATTGATTGGCTGGGATGAATGAATCCATCAGGTGGAACAAAGGTAGGCCTGGCGTCCCTTCGCAACTGTGGATAATGTGGTCGTGATTTGGCAGTATATTCCTCACTTGCGAGCTTAGTCCCAACAACATATCCAAACAGTTCAAAGACTTGCCATTTACCAGGAAGGGTTATATCGCAACAATTTTCATCATTTGATAAGGTCAACCTCAGTGTGTCACCCCCACAGTAAAGCTGCCAGTTTAATCCGTATTCTCCTGTGTTGACATTACGTTTTGATTAATTGATACGTAGAACCAGGTGGATTGTCGGTCTACACCCCCCATTTGTAGCCCAATTGTTGTTGGAAATGTTCCCAACGGCCACAGTTTTGACAGGTTTATTAGATGTTATTAGCCCATCATACTCCTTTCATCTCCTTTCACTAAAACTGTCGAGTAGGTCCGTCATGCATTACTAACCCCTTCAAACATCTTCAAACAGTTGTTCAAGGTGGATAGCACCCGATATCATGGGTCAGTGATGGGGGTTGAACCCCAGCAACGACCACTACCAGGTGGTCACGGGCGTTTTCTTGAACACCGCTATCGAAAGTGCCGGGGCCGACAAAGCTTCTGGACTTGAAGTAATGTTTTTTTGAGGGGTGCACTTGGTGCAGAAGCGCAACACATGAATGTTACTTGTAATTATGCGCATGTTTCTCCGTGATGTGAGGTGATGTCTAAACTAATCTTATTTTAAAGTATTATAACGTATTAAAAAATATTTTAACATAAAGTAAAGTAATGTGATGTGATGTGTGCATGATGTCATGTGATGGGTGCATGCATGTGCGTACTTTATCTTTGCAACTTTGTTGCTTGTGTGTTCATTGAAGTATACAGACTAGATCAGTATACAGTATTGTGTTATATGGTGGTTTCCTGAAATGGGGGTACCCCCAAATATCCCCAAATCATCCATTTTAATAGGACAGGATTTTCCATTATAAATTATAAACCACCCATTTTCGGGTATCCTCATTGATGGAACCCCCCTATGTTTTGCCACGTGTACGCAATTCACAATGACTACCGTTTGTTTAGCACCTGCACGTGATGCTCTGAAGCGAGCCACACGAAAACGAAAACACACGGCTCAGTCATGACCTTTCAATGCTTCAGTCATGCATTTAACATGATGGTTTCAGAGCTGCATGGACAGGTTTTTGCTACATTTATTGTTTGCATTTTTGTATGTGTGCCATTCAATTCGTTGACAACATGCTTAGTGTTGCAAACTCATACGGGTGTTTATCGCAAGGAGACAAGAGTGTTTTTTTTCCTTCAGCTCTTGCGAGGGAGAGTGATATCAAATTGCTAAGCCCCTGATGAATGGTGAATCTGGCAGGTTGGTCTCGATGCCCACGCCATGAACATACAACATTGTCCTGTTTTTCTTGCGACAATGGCATTGTTTGAATCTGCGCGAGAATGGTACTGTAGCTGTGCTTATCCTCCAGCAATAAATATGGAAAACACATGAAAACACAAGATTTGCAGACCATGTTCCGGAAACTCTTGGATTGCCCGAGGACGTCGCGACCATTCGACAGGTTCATGCGAAAGCCCAGCAGGACGGCTAGGGGCTCACCATGGCTCACCTGACCATTTTATGTGGATATTATACAGTATATTATATATATATATGATATATGTGATACAATATAATTCTGCAACTATATAGATTTTGGATGATTTTGGGAGGGGGAGTTATCTCCAACATTTCTATCATGTTTTGTTTGTGAATGTATACGCCGCGGCATGTTGTACCAGAACATGGTCAAGGGGTCGGAGCGCCCATGAAGTGATAGCTGACATCTGAAAAAAGAGACCGCGCCAGATATAAAAGGATCTCTGGAAGAAACCCTTAGCACTCCCTGAAACTGTATTTTTCGGTGGAATCATTTGATGTGAAATTGCTGGCTGCCTTGTAAGTCTGCTGGACTGGGACTGACTGACTTTGTGTTTCTTTCCTCGCCTATTGCAAACCAAGGTCAGACTTCTTTAAACATTTCTTACTTAAGATTCCATAAGATAAATAAGGTTCACGCCGGCTTTTATATTGAACCACCAGGAGTTAGCACATCAATGTTTTGTTTGCCTTTCGAGCCTCATCAAACGTCCCCAGGGATATATATATATATGAACAGATATCAACACCCCCCCCTCCCCAGCTGTAAGTAGTGCTTGATGTTCAGTATATAGGGAGTATATGGAGAGTAAAGTATATAGGGACCCTAGGGAACTTACGGGGAGTATATACGCACATAATCAAAGGAAGTTTAGGGGGAGAAACTTCCGTGTTACGGACTTTTAGAATGTCAGGGAAAGAGTTAGTCAAAGAAAGAGTTAGCAAAGAAACAGTTAGTCAGGGAAAGAGTTAGTCAAAGAAAGAGTTAGTCAGGGAAAGAGTTAGTCAAAGAAAGAGATAGTGAGGGAAAGAGTTAGTCAAAGAAAGAGTTAGCAAAGAAACAGTTCGTCAGGGAAAGAGTTAGTCAAAGAAAGAGTTAGTGAGGGAAAGAGTTAGTCAAAGAAAGAGTTAGCAAAGAAACAGTTAGTCAGGGAAAGAGTTAGTCAAAGAAAGAGTTAGTGAGGGAAAGAGTTAGTCAAAGAAAGAGTTAGCAAAGAAAGAGTTTGTCAGGGAAAGAGTTCGTCAAAGAAAGAGTTAGTCAAAGAAACAGTTAGTCAGGGAAAGAGTCAGTCAAAGAAAGAGTTAGTCAAAGAAACAGTTAGTCAGGGAAAGAGTTAGTCAAAGAAAGAGTTAGTGAGGGAAAGAGTTAGTCAAAGAAATAGTTAGTGAGGGAAAGAGTTAGTCAAAGAAAGAGTTAGTGAGGGAAAGAGTTAGTCAAAGAAAGAGTTAGTGAGGGAAAGAGTTAGTCAAAGAAAGAGTTAGCAAAGAAACAGTTAGTCAGGGAAAGAGTTAGTCAAAGAAAGAGTTAGTCAGGGAAAGAGTTAGTCAAAGAAAGAGTTAGTGAGGGAAAGAGTTAGTCAAGGAAAGAGTTAGCAAAGAAACAGTTAGTCAGGGAAAGAGTTAGTCAAAGAAAGAGTTAGTGAGGGAAAGAGTTAGTCACAGAAAGAGTTAGCAAAGAAACAGTTAGTCAGGGAAAGAGTTAGTCAAAGAAAGAGTTAGTCAGGGAAAGAGTTAGTCAAAGAAAGAGATAGTGAGGGAAAGAGTTAGTCAAAGAAAGAGTTAGCAAAGAAACAGTTAGTGAGGGAAAGAGTTAGTGAGGGAAAGAGTTAGTCAAAGAAAGAGTTAGCAAAGAAACAGTTAGTCAGGGAAAGAAAGAGTTAGTCAGGGAAAGAGTTAGTCAAAGAAAGAGTTAGTGAGGGAACGAGTTAGTCAAAGAAAGAGTTAGCAAAGAAAGAGTTAGCAGAAATCAGGGAAGTCGAAAGATTAGTTAGGAAAGAAAGAAGTTAGTTAGAGGGAAAGAAGAAAGAGTTAGTCACAGAAAGAGTTAGCAAAGAAAGAGTTCGTCAGGGAAAGAGTTAGGCAAAGAAAGAGTTAGTCAAAGAAACAGTTAGTCAGGGAAAGAGTTAGTCAAAGAAAGAGTTAGTGAGGGAAAGAGTTAGTCAAAGAAAGAGTTAGTGAGGGAAAGAGTTAGTCAAAGAAAGAGTTAGTCAGGATATATGAGGTAGTCAAAGAAAGAGTTAGCAAAGAAACAAGGTAGTCAAAGAAAGAGTTGGTGAGGAAAAGAGTTAGTCACAGAAAGAGTTAGCAAAGAAATTGTTCCCTCACTGTAAATGGCATTGCAAGTGGTGCTGGTGGAGGAGTTGCCGATGGAGTTTTGAGGAAGTCTCGCACGAAATGCGTTTTTGAGAGATAGCAGATGCACGAAACCCTATGTTTTTCCATACAAAGTCCGTCCCCGAACCTCGATGATCTCCCTCTGCGGTGCGACGGTTGCGAGACGGTCTCGTGTGTGGTCGGATCATGCTCGGATCATGGGCGGATATGGTCGGATCGGTTCCGCATTGTAAATGGGGTGTCAACAGTTTTTCGTGCATGTGTGGTCGACAGAATTCCATTGTGATTTGCAACTGTAGGATCGTACCCGCATTGTAAATGGGGTTGCAAGTGGTGCTGGTGGATGAGTTGCCGATAGAATTCCATTGTGATTTGCAACTCTAGGATCGTTCCCTCACTGTAAATGGGATTGCAAGTAGTGGTGCTGGAATTCCTTGTGATTTGGAGTTTTGTAAATGGGATTGCAAGTGGTGCTGGTGGATGAGTTGCCGATGTTTTGGAGGAAGTCTCGCACGAAATGCGTTTTTGAGAGATAGCAGATGCACGAAACCCTATGTTTTCCATACAAAGTCCGTCCCCGAACCTCGATGATCTACCTCTGCGGTGCGACGGGTGCGAGACGGTCTCGTGTGTGGTCGGATCATGCTCGGATCGGATATGGTCGGATCGGTTCCGCATTGTAAATGGGGTGTCAACAGTTTTTCGTGCATGTGTGGTCGACAGAATTCCATTGTGATTTGCAACTGTAGGATCGTTCCCGCATTGTAAATGGGGTTGCAAGTGGTGCTGGTGGATGAGTTGCCGATAGAATTCCATTGTGATTTGCAACTCTAGGATCGTTCCCTCACTGTAAATGGGATTGCAAGTAGTGCTGGTGGAGGAGTTGCCGATGGAATTCCATTGTGATTTGCAACTCTAGGATCGTTCCCTCACTGTAAATGGGATTGCAAGTGGTGCTGGTGGAGGAGTTGCCGATGGAGTTTTGAAGGAAGTCTCGCACGAAATGCGTTTTTGAGAGATAGCAGATGCACGAAACCCTATGTTTTTCCATACAAAGTCCGTCCCCGAACCTCGATGATCTACCTCTGCGGTGCGACGGTTGCGAGACGGTCTCGTGTGTGGTCGGATCATGGTCGGATCATGCTCGGATCATTCTCGGATCGGTTCCGCATTGTAAATGGGGTTTCAAGTGTTTTTCGTGCATGTGTGGTCGACAGAATTCCATTGTGATTTGCAACTGTAGGATCGTTCCCGCAATGTAAATGGGATTGCAAGTGGTGCTGGTGGATGAGTTGCCGATGGAGTTTTGAAGGAAGTCTCGCACGAATTGCGTTTTTTTCTCCATTTTGGCGCTAGTGATTTTCCTTTTAAAAATCCTTTTAAAAAGTGCTTCAAAATCGTCTTTTTTTCGCTCTGGCGTCGAGAGCCCCGGTTTTGGAGCTACAATTTCCGACGCCGTTGCGCGTAGTTCTATTGTGCTTTGCAACTCAGTCTCCGCAGATCGCATTGTAATGGCTGCGTGAAGGTTGCTTCATGCTGTGGCTGCATGCGTAATACAATTGTCTTTTGCAGCTGGACTTCGTAAATCGTATTGGACTGGCTGCATGAAGGCTGCGAAGTGGATTTGTTAGCAGATTTTCTCCATTTTGGCGCTAGTGATTTTCCTTCTAAAAATCCTTTTAAAAAGTGCTTCAAAATCGTCTTTTTTTCGCTCTGGCGTCGAGATCCGGTTTTGGAGCTACAATTTCCGACGCCGTTGCGCGTAGTTCTCTTGTGTTTTGCAACTCAGTCTCCGCAGATCGCATTGGAATGGCTGCGTCAAGGTTGCTTCTTGCTTTGGCTGCATGCGTAATGTCTTTTGCAGCTGGATCTCGTAAATCGTCTTGGACTGGCTGCATGAAGGCTGCGAAATGGATTTGTTAGCAGATTTTCTCCATTTTGGCGCTAGTGTTTTTTTGTTGCACGTAGGTTTAGAGCAGTGTGAAGTGTGGGGCATGGAGAGTGCAGTGTGAAGTGTGCAGTGTGAAGGAAGCAGTGGGAAGTGAGAAGTGTGAAGTGTGGAGTGTGAAGTTTAAGTTTGGAGTGTGAAGTGCGAAGTGAGAAGTGTGAAGTGTGAAGTTTGGACTGTGAAGGAAGCAGTGAGAAATGAGAAGTGTGAAGTGTGGAGTCTGAAGTGTGAAGTGCGATTTTTTTCAGATTTTGGCTGCTTGCAAACACCAAAGCTTGGCAAATGCAATTTTTGCGTTTTGGCATCGAGATCCGGTTTTGAAAGCTCGTTTTGTATAGCCTGAGGCAGTGCATGTGTAGTTTCAGGTCTGCCAGGCTGTGTGCGAATTGTGCATGTTCCCGCCGCCGTTGTGTGGGTCATGCATGCGAATAAATCGATTCGGTGAGAACACGATCATATATAGCAAGCATGCAACATAGCCATCATATATAACGTCTTACGTGAACAAGTGTCAACAAACATCACGCATGTACACGATACAACCTTGCAACTGCGTAGACTCGCAACGCGTACGTGCGACGTTCTGGTCCGCGGAAGCGTGGGTACGTGCGACGTTGTGGTCCGCGTAGGCTAGCGCCATGGAATCGTCGCTGTTCGAAGACCTTCTTTGTTTCTTGCAGAAAGAAGAGCTTGTGTTGAAGGCTTTGCGCGCCACGGACTTGAAAGCATGCTTGCGGACAGGGACAGGCACCAGAGGATACGAAGCAAATGCAGAGCGAGCCAAGTATTATAGAATTTACAATAAGATTGAGAAGCAAGTAACGGCTGACCAAAAAGCGACTCTAATGGATTGGGAACGAAGGCTTTGCAGTGAGGCGGAG